TGGTGATGATGACGCTGCTGTTGCTGCCGATGACGTGTGATGGTGATGATGGCGGTGGTGCTGGTGATGATGGTGATGATGGTGATGATGATGTGATGATGATGATGATGATGTAGGTGGTAGTGGTGATGGTGGTGATGATGGTGATGTAGGTGATAATTGCAATGATGATGATGGTGATGAAAGTTATTTTGATGGTGATGCTAAGAATAACGTCCATGATGATGCTATTTATGATGATGATGATGATGATGATGATGGCAGTGATGATTTTTTTTTATATGACTATATCTGTACTAGTTAGATAATTTCTGCACGCCGAGGATTGTAAGATATCAAGAAAGGTCTTTCATATTTTTTGTCTTCTTTTTACCTGTTACTTAGGTTACTAAAAAGGTTTCTTATAAAATAAAATCTAAAATGACTGCGAAAACGTCTAAATTAAAAATAATAACAACATTACATAGGAGTCACCACGAATGCTTTTTCTGAATATACATGTATTTATTATCTTTTGCAATCTGAGTATAAAATCTGAAGTAAACAAATATTTTTATATTATGCAATTGTACATGTCTATGAAACTTTAAATCAACTAAATGTACAACTATATTGATTTACAACCAGGTAGTACTGATATATATAAAAAAAATAATGAAATATTGTCATTATTTCTAATTTTAGTGAAATTTGACATGCTTGAAATAAGAAGAAAAAAAGAAAAAGACGTTCCTGCAGTTGAATTTACTTCCAATTACACAACGTGTTTTCCCAACAAAATTTCAAATAAAGCGAATGACACTTACATTCATAATGAGATAATATAATTCCTGGTATTTTACGTACCGTTGTCATACTAAAGAACGCAAAAATGCCGATTATTTTATTTTATTTTCATGAGCCCCTTCAAACCAAGTATACAAAAGACATCTTCGTGAAAATTGCATCTGTACATTGTGTGCTCGAAATGTCAGAATATATCTTTTCCAGCAGTTACAGGTGGATGTATATATTCACAATTCAGCAAATTCAGTTCTGCAAACAAAAACATAATTTTCAACATTTGCGTCTTGTATTCTCTTGATTACATATTCCAATATATTTCAATCTACTAACCATGATTTAATAAGACTAAGTACATTAAAACGTGCAAGGGCATCGCTAAAAGGTTTTGAACGGGACGGGATTTAACTAGTTGACATTAAGTTTACCTGCAGAAAATGTGATCAAGAGAGGGGGCGAAGCAACCCCACCAACCCCCCCCCCCCCGAACCCTAGAACAAGATTCCAAAGAATTCGACGAAAGGTCAGAAAATGTAACCCCTACCTAAGGACAATGTTGCATCCGCCCCTATTTCAATATTTGCCTCCAACTTTCCCAACACGTACAAAAGGGTTTACTGACAGAACAGAGACCCTCCCACACACACACACACACACACGAACGCACACACAAACGCACACACACACAAGCAAATGCGCACACTCATACGAATTTTCACACCTTAGCAACACCCCAGCGCTCTGTATAAATATTTATCCCATAACCAATTATCCCACCACCGTTAAGACTATTTCAGACATGGCTCGATAAACCACCGCAAAAAAAGGGCGCCGCTGTTTTCTTTACATGTAAATGAATGGTAAATGAGTGCAGCAAAGGACTTGGGAGTATTCACTGAGCTCTGCTCCATGTCATCGAAAAAAATAAATCATATCTGAACGAGCCGTAACACCGTTCAGGCATTTAAAATCGTAAGTATGTGAATGTATTCCACATAGAATTATGTATAAACATATCTGTCAATGAAAGTACTACAGAAATTGTCCTTGGCAAAATATGATAAAACATCTAAAAACCCTTTCAACTTGGAAAAACTTTTTACTAATTTGTTAACAAATTGATCAGCCCTCGTTTAATTGGTTTTGGGAAGTCCATGGTCATTACTGACAAATTGTTGACTTATCTTCGATTCGATGATCTCAAGGCAGTAGACAGCAAGAAAACTTCAATGTAAATAATCATTAGGCTTGAGAAAGTCTGCAGGAGTGGATGAAAGCTCGCCGACTAAAATTTCACGTTGGTTAAAATTATTGGTTACACTTTAAACTACATGTGATATTCACCGGAGTCTTAAATACGTGAAGTTTAAAAAGGAGAGCATTTAAGAGAGAACATGGTGTGTGTTGATGATGGCTAGTGATTGGCTCAGGCGCGGATCCAGGGGGGGCCGAGCGGGCCTTGGCCCCCCCCCCCCGCAAAAAAAAAAAAAAAAAAAAAAAAGAGAGAAAAAAGGAAAAGAAGCGAAAGGGAAAGAGGAGAGAAAGGGAAAGAAAGAAGAGGAAGAAGAAAAGAAAAGGGGGAAGAAGGAGATCGGGGACCGAAAGGGCTTTGCCTCCCAGGCTGTTGACCCCCCCCCCCCCCCCCCCCCATATAACAAATAAGAGAGAAGGAAGGAAAGGGAAAGGAAAAGAGGAGATACTGGCGTACTGATAGGGGGGGGGGGGGGGCTAAGTGGAAATCAAATTCAAACTCGGTTTATTTCTAATTCCATAACGGTGGATTACAAATAATGCTAAAATGACATCATTTCCGAGATTTTTCCTCACTTTTTAGTAAATTATACGTTTGTATGTGTTTGTTGGAAAATGACAAATTCCTAAATTTGCAGCCAGGCAAGAAATATGATTCTTGATATTCCTACATGTCAGGGCCCGAGGTACGGCGGGGATCGGGAGCCCCGAGCTCTCCCCCCCCCCCCACACTTTTTTTGAAAAATTGTATTAAAGAGAAATAAAATAGAATGAGAGCACGAAAGAAAGAATAGTTAACTGCCAGTGTTAACAAATAATGAGGCATCAAAATATGCTCATCTGACCGTGATTAAATGCCTAAAACCCCTAAGCTTCCGTGGGCTCTGCCCCCTGGATCCCACCAAAGGCCCTACGACGGGCCCTTAGATGCTCATCTGACGGTAATTTAATGCCTAAAACCCCTGATTTTGGGGGGCTCCGCCCCTTGGACCCAACGCCAAATAGTTACCTGCCAGTGTCACGAAATAATAAGGTATACAATAAAAAAATATGCTCATATGACCTTAATTAAACGCCTAAAACCTCTGAGCTTCCGGGGCCGGCTTCGCCGCCGCCCCAGACAAGGATTAACAATCGAGAACGGTACAGCGAATCGTCTTCTTTCTCTCATAATCTTATGAAACGTGAAGCTTCCGCGCATTGCGCGTGAGGGGGAACCTGAATTCAGACAAGGATTCAGAGGCGAGAACCGTAATACTAATCTTTTATGATTTAATAAAACGTAACAGCTTCCGCACTTCGTGCGGGATGGAGGGGGGGGGGGGAACTTAATTCCGACAAGGATTATTTTCGAGAGCGGTACAACGAATCGACTTCTTTCTCTAATGATTTAATGAAAATTAAAAGCTTCCGCGCTTTGCGCGGGAGGGGGGAACCTGAATTTAGACGAGGATTAAGAGTCGAGAACTGTACAACGAATCGTTTTGTTTCTCTAATGATTTAATGAAACGTAAAAGCTTCCGCGCTTCGCGCGAGAGGGGAAAACTAAATTCAGACGAGAATTATTTTCGAGAACTGTACAACGAATCGTCATTTTTCTCTAATGATTTAAGGAAACTTCAAAGGGGGGAACCTGAATTCAGACGAGAATTTAGAGTCGAGAACTCTACAACGAATCGTCCTCTTTCTCTAATAATTTAATAAATCCTAAAATTTTCCGCGCTTCGCGCGAGAGGGGAAAACTAAATTCAGACGAGAATTATTTTCGGGAACTGTACAACGAATCGTTTTGTTTCACTAATGATTTAATGAAACGTAAAAGCTTCTAAATGAATCTAAATTCAGACGAGGATTATTTTCTAAAACGGTACAACGAATCGTCTTTTTTTTATGATGATTTAAGGAAACTTAAAAACTTCCGCGCTTCGCGCGGGAGGGGGGGGGGGATCTTGAATTCAGACGAGGATTAAGAGTCGAGAACTGTTCAGCCAATCGTCTTCTTTCTCTCATAATCTTATGAAACTTAAAAGCTTCCGCGCTTTGCGCGAGAGGAGGGGGGGGACTTGAATTCAGACGAGGATTAAGAGTCGAGAACTGCACAGCGAATCGTCTTCTCTCCTAATGATTAAATGAAACGTAAAATCTTCCGCGCTTCGCGCGGAGGGGGGGAGGGGGGGGGAACTGAATTCAGACGAGGATTAAGATTCGAGAACGGTACAACGAATCGCCTTCTTTCTTTTATAGTTTAATGAAACGTCAAAGCTTCCGCGCTTCGCGTAGGAGGGGGAGAGGGGGGGGAACTGAATCTAGACAAGGATTAAGAGTCGAGAACGGTACAACAAATAGTCTTCTTTCTCTAACGATTTAATGAATCGTAAAAGCTTCTACGCTTCGCGCGGAAGGGGTAAACTGAATTCAGACGAGGATTAAGAGTCGAGAACTGTACAACGAATCGTTTTGTTTCTCTAATGATTTAATGAAACGTAAAAGCTTCCGCGCTTTGCGCGGGAGGGGGGAGAATCTAAATTCAGACGAGGATTATTTTCGAAAACGGTACAACGAATCGTCTTTTTTCCCTAATGATTTAAGGAAACTTAAAAGGAGGGGGGAACTGAATCTAGACAAGGATTAAGAGTCGAGAACGGTACAACAAATAGTCTTCTTTCTCTAGTAATTTAATAAATCCTAAAAAATGTCGCGCTTCGCGCGAGAGAGGAAAAACTAAATTCAAACGAGATTTATTTTTGAGAACGGTACAACGAACCGTTTTCTTTTTCTAATAATTAAATGAAACGTCAAAGCTTCCGCGTTTCGCGGAGGAGGGAGGGGGAAATTCACCCCTCCCCGCACCTACCCCCCCCCCCCCGCATCATGTCACTGTTGGTTACCATTACGTACCAATATTTGGCTCGCAAAATTTCAAATTTGGGCCCCCCCCCCCCTAAGAAATCCTGGATCCGCGCCTGGATTGGCTAGTTTGCAGAAGTCACGTGAGAAGCTTTAGTTGTATCTGTAGTGCATCGGATTTCGTTCAACAGCGCTCTGTAAACAAATAATGTTTGAATAAAATAAAACATTAATGAGGAAACAGATTAAGATATCGCATTCATTTATTAGTATTTAAACGCTCAAAATATTTGTGTCCTTTGAAACAGGAGCATTAACAGATCGTCTGAAAGATATTCGGATATTCATATGACTAAATAAACCTTAAATGATTCAGTTCAGTTTATTTTATTTTTTTGCACGGGACCAGCGTTAGCCAAAGGCTGTTCTTCTGTAGGAAAGTTAATTTTTATCATATATACAGTGGTACAGAAGAGGTGAAGGGAATCAAAGACTTACATCAGTACTGCTCTGTCCATCGGTCACATAAGGAACTGTAAAGTTATCAAAGCCATCAGATCTCTGTTTGTTGGAAGAAAACAAAAGAATAAAGAAATAAACCAACAAAACTAAATTTCATTAATGAGAGTAGCCTCGTCTAGTTTCGTTGCAAAAAGCTTAGCAAATGATCTTATTATTGATGTTTGCAATTGATTGCATTGATTACTATGTGCAATTATTCGCAAAATCGATCGTACGATAAATTGCTGAGTCTTGTGTAACAGGCCCCCTGAAGACAGAAAATATTTTCCGCATAATCTGACGCAACTTACCAGAATGTTGAACAATATATCAGGGGCAGTATTTTAAACGAAGATGCGATATTTTATCTTAGTAAAACCATATTAATTGTCATTAAAAATAACAAATCGGACAAGTCATTGGTTTAAATATGTGCAAAGCTGGCTATTGCGCAAGCACCGGTGATAATAATAATAATACAAAATTAATGTTTGCTTAAATAGCGCTTAATACATCAGCAATTTCCGAGTTTCTAAGCACTTTACGTTATTACCCCGGCCATTGGATTCTGGCTTGCCCACACACAATGTATGCACTTTCTTCAGTCCCTGGGGAGTATTCCAACAAGAGCTACTAGGCTCAAATTGCTAAGCATACTACACTGGCTTTCGTATCCTTCCGGGTACCCTTTTAACAACTGGGTGGAAAGTGGCAAATGTAGATCAATGACTTTCCAAAGGACATTAGTGCCGTGGCGGGACTCGAACCGCGGACCTTGTGATCGACAGTCCGGTGACGTTATCCAATCAACCACAAAACCTCTACACCAGCTTTAAATGTGCATAATTTCAGTTTTGTTTTAGTTGTGACTATTTGTCTTTCCTTTTTTCATTCATGTTGAAATGAATTTGAATAAACTGATAAACAAATGACAGTTATGAATGTATGAAACAATAAAATAAAGAATGACAGGCAAAATGAAACAAATAATTAGCTATCTTACTTGATAATAATTTCTCTCTACCATGGGTCTGTCAATGCCTTGGTAACGTCTGATGCGATCCACGGCCTGACTGATTTCAAATTGCCGTCGACCAATAGAAAAGTCTAACGACCGATCGTCCGATGAAGGCTCTGACCACACCTCATCAAAGATACCCCTGTGCTCCGAGCGGTATTCATTACGTCTCCTTTCTCTGCTAGGGTACATGTAAGAGGGGTATTAACTTTTTTCCTACTTCATTTTTACAATAATATTTTTCTCATTCTTATATATACATTATGTAGATTGTTAACATTATAGTTTATTTATTTTTATTTATTTATTCGGTTTAAAAACATCAACACGTAAAGTTCAGGAACTCATAATGGTTGATTTACAATGAAATTGAATAGTATAAACAAAATTGAACCAACAAATATACACTTAAGAAGAACATATTATTTCACACACATAAAAATGTGATTGCAATACAATATACAACGGCTGGCTAGATGTGGCTAGACCAAGGCGAGATATGACAAGGAAATCGAAAAGAAGATAAATGACAAAAGAGAGAGAGAGAGAGAGAGAGAGAGAGAGAAAGAGAGAAGAAGAAGTGGTGAGAGAGCAAGAGAGGGACAAGAAAGGGGAGGGTAGAAAGAAAAAGAGAGAAGGTAGGGGGAAAGAGAGGGGGAGGGGAGATACGGAGGGGAAGTGAGGGAGAGAGAAGGAAGAGAGAGGAAGAGAGAGGGAGAGAGAGGAAGGTAGAAAGAGAGAGAAGAGAGACAGGGAGAGAGTGAGGTATAGAAAGAGAGAGCGAGAGAGAGGAGAGAGGAGAGAGAAGAGAGAGAAAAGAGGGGGAGAGAGAAGGGGATAGAAGAGAGAGAGAGGGAGGAGAGAAAAGGAGAGACATGGAGAGGGAGAGAGAGAGAGGGGAGAGATCTTTAAAAGGCAAAATAAGAAACAAGGTAGATAAACGTAGCATTAAAACATTAATACATTTCTTATACACATCTACACAGGAGAAGGCGCACCGGAGCGTTCTGAGAAGACAACAATGGATTGGCCTGCAACGCATCGTCGCGTCCGCTCCGAAGGCCACAGTGCGCCTGCACATGATGGTCAACATTTCAGCATTTTCAAGAAATTTAGAGTAGCTAAAATGTACAGGCAATTTGGCAGTAAATAGCAAAATATAATCAACACGCTTCCCGACAATGTTGTGCAAAACATGTAAAGCTAATTGTTAAAGAGTTGGCACCTCTATTAATTAATGGCAAAACCCCCATTTCTTCAATATTCTGGATCAGAAAAATACAGCTATAATAAAGTATTGCACCTTGTAATGGTTCTAAAGAGTCACAACATGTGAAGCTAATTGCTAAGTTGACACCTCTATTAATGGAAAACCCGCATACCTTCAAATTATTTAACAAATCAGAAAATACGGCTATAATAAAGTATTGCACTTTGTACATGTATCAGGTCTAAAGATTCACAACATGTGAAGCTAATTGTCAGGAGAAGTTGACACCTCTATTAATGGGGAAAACCCGCAAATCTTCAATATTATGAATCATGTATTAGAAAATACAGCTTTAATGAAGTATTGCACGTTGTTTCCGATCTAAAGAGTACCGGTACATGAAATACAATTCAATTTTTTGGAATTCACATTAGGTTATTGAGAGTCTTAATGACTTGGGGTAGAGGAGACTTTTTATAGCGTTGGGTACGACACATCGGTTCTAGAAACCCATCCTTCGATCTTAGGGGACGATAATTAGGTAGGGTGCTTCGGAGAGGTGGGAGCATCGAACTGTGCCTAGAGCTTATGGTGGACTTAGCAAACTTCTCAAATAATTGTTTTCGACGATGCTCAAGTGATATGATGTTAAGAAACTCGAGAGCATTTGCGTAGTCTGTGTAATTGTGGTAGCCAATGATAATTCTACACGCACGTTTTTGTATGCGCTCAATTTTGTTAGATTGCTGTACTGTGAGAGCTGGAGACCACACAGGGGAGGCATACTCCAGTAGTGGCCTGATATACATCAGGTAGACCGATACCAAGTCGCCGACAGGGGCTTTGTACTTTTTGAGTATACATAGCATATATAGTCGTTTAGCAGCTACACTGGTCATATGAGAAGTTTGCATGTCCCATTTCATGTCAGCTTGTACAATAACGCCCAATAGTTTGAGAGTATCTACACATTCAAGGGTGGTTGCACCAAGGTGAAAGTTCGGAAATACAGTAGGTCTTTTCAGGAATGAAACATTCATTATCTTACATTTCTCAGGTTTAGGGGTCATGCTATTATCAGTAGACCAAGTAGAGAGATTGTTGATTACTGATTGGATGTTAGAAGGTTGGGAATGTTTCCTAACTTCTGCAATTGTGAGATCATCTACATATTTCCATCTTAGTTGTGTATCAGAGGCAGCATCATTAATCATGACTAAGAAAAGGACCGGGCCAAGGCTACTGCCTTGGGGGGGCTCCACATGTCACATTAGAGAAATTAGAGACAATAGGACCGATACGAACACAGTGTGATCTACATTCAAGGTAACTACAAATGACTGGAATAAGTGATAGGTCTACACCAAGTTGGATAAGTTTCCTAACAACAACATTGTGATCAATATGATCGAAAGCTTTGGCATAATCAATGGCACATAGTGATGCAACATGGCCAGGCTTATCAGTTCCTTTTAAGATAGTGTCCACAAGACTCACAAGGTAGTGAGTGGTCGATGAGTTCCTAATATTTCCATACTGTTGACTGTCTAACTTGTGACTGATGTCGCGGGTAATCCAACTTGAAAGGAAGGTTTCAAAGATCTTAGCAAAGATAGGTGTTAGAGAAATGGGTCGTAATTGGTCGAAAGACTGACATGGTTTCACCTTGGGAATGGGCACTATGTTGGATAGCTTCCACTGGTCGGGGAAAACGCCGGATTGTAGGCACTCATTAAATATACGAGCAAGAGGATCAGCTAGTTCAGGTGCAAATTCTCGGATGAGTCTTGCCGGAAGGTCATCCTTGTACGAAGCCTTAGAGGGGTTGATATTCCTAAGCTTCTGATAGACCTGGTGAGCTTCAATTACAGGAGGTGGTCGCGGGGCAGGAAGAAATGCTGGCAGTGCATTGCGATCAAGAGGAGGTAGTGCCGAGCAGATTGAAGCGAAATGGTTGTTGATGTTTTCAGCTTGATCTGCAGGGGCCAAGTCACTTTCGGGTAAGGTAGGTCTAGTTTTCTTGAGACCTGCGAGGTGACGAATCTCCTGGTGCCATTTTCCCGGTTGCTGTTTCTTAAGATTCTTGACTTTTCGGGAGTAGAAATTTTGCTTGCACTTAGCAATCTCTCTTCGAACTGTATCTCGTAGGGTTTTGTACAATGGGATATTACCTAGCAGATAAGCTTTCTGACGTTGTGAGATGATCGTAAGAACTCGGTTGGTGATCCAGGGCTTATCATCAGAGCGACGTTTAATGCAGGTTGGTGGGAAGATCTGGAGGTAGCGAGCTCGAAGTGATGAAGCAAAGGACTCTACCATTTCAACAGCATCACGACATTCGTTGAGACAAGTCCAGTTCTCTGATGTGAGCCACTGGCCGAAGGTACGGATGTTGGAGTCCCTCATAGGCCGAATTGTCGTCTTACGTGGCGCAGAATTAAGAATTACATTAATAGGGTCGATGATGATGGTTCGATGGTCACTAGTTGAGATGGGGCTGTTTACAACAGGTTCCTTGTATAAATCAGAGGAGTCAGTGAAGACTTTATCTAAGATGTTATGACCTCTGGTGGGCTTCGAGACGATTTGTTGGAACCCTAGCTCGTCAAGAAGAGGAGCAGTGTTAAGGTCGTTGAAGTCACCTAAAATCATGAACTTCGCATCGGGATGTTGTGACTTTAAATGATCAACCATAAACTGCAGGCTGTCAATAATTTCATCTTTCAACGGAGACTGGGGAGGGTAGTACACAGCACATAAAAACAGAATACGAGTTTTACTGAGAACCAGCTTTAACCATAGTAACTCTAGATGGTTGGGAACAAGGTGTGATTCGATAGGTGTGGCTTTGAAGTCGGAGCTTACGTAGATGGCGACTCCACCACCTTGACGGTCATTACGGTCTTTGCGATACATGTCAAAACCAGAGATTGATAATGCACTTGATGGAATGTTGTCGTTTAGCCAAGTTTCAGTTATAACGGCTACTTGCGTCTTATTAACTCTCATAGTTGCCATAAGATCGCTGTGTTTAGAGTTCAGGGATCTTAAATTGGCTAGAAGTATGGCTGGCAATTTGTTATTGAGTTTGTCATAATCCTCCCTCTGAACGGGCACCAAGTTATACAAGTTTGATTTTGTATTGTGGCAAGAAACTTGTTTTCTACAGGAACTTATAAGCACGGGAATAGAACTTTCATTCTTTTGAGTACGTACATACTTTTCATGTGGACACAAGCGTACCTTGTCATTGCCAGTCCTTTTCCGAATATGCTGACCACCTCTCCTGCTTCTCATGTGACTTATACCTAATTCCTTAATGCGAGTATAAGTATCTTGCGAAAAATGATCCGTCCCATAGCTATGGCGAAGAGAGTACAAGGCTTGCCTAGTATAGCACACACGAGATCTATTGCTACTTGACTTCACAGCACAAGACATTGACAGAGTGCGTTCATCCATGGTCACTCTATTCATCCAGGATCTCAGAGTAGGTTCATCAATTGATGGTGATATTAGCATAACAATGCCAGCCTTCTCAGCTACATGCACTGTACTAAGACAGTGTATCAAGTACAGCATGCAGATAATCCAAACTTGAGCAGAAAACATACTGATTTTACTCCAAAGCAGAATTGTCAAATGATGTGAAGATTGGCTAGTAGCTTGACAACAACTAGTAAAAACACATGACACTGTCTCTGAATGAAATATTACTCTGGATACAACGTTATCAGCAAATAATTGTGGAGGTGTGGCAGCAGCACAACAGCGCCCATTTTCATGTGAAATAATAATGTGAGAAACAACATGTAGAATTTAATCGGCTGTTGTTTAAAGGTAAAGACCAGTTATGGTCATGCAATTGCATTGTGAAAGAAACGTTGTGGAATCGATCAGAAAAGGTTGATCATCTAGCATCTAGCATATGCAAGGTTCTGGAATCATCAAAATGATAAGAAATTTGGCCCATTCTTCATAAAGTTACAAGCACTATACACAGAAAGATGTATATGGGACTACCCTATATCTCTCACAGACCATGAGAGAAACAAATTTACCAAATATATGAATTAGTAGGCGGTTTCCCGGCAAATTTTTTATCATCATGTATTAGTCAAAACATATTCTTTCACATGATTGGTAATGAGAGCTTCCATTTCATTTTTTGAAATTGGGGCGTTTCCAATACTGGTCTTTACCTTTAATCTATTTTCTGATCTCCTATTGAATGTCAATGTCTTTTACTTCCACGTACTCTTTATTTGAATGGTTTGCTAAATATATCAAGAAAACATTGTGAATCACGCTGCCATTGTCATGTCATTATTATTCACATTCTCATTATCATGATCAATATCGCTGTTAATTGTAATAATTGCCATAGTCACTGGCATTGGCAGTCATTATGTCATTATACCGCCATTATCATTATCACTGTTACTGCATTGTCGATGTCATTGTCATTGTCATCATCACTATTCAATTCAATTTAATTCAATTTATTTATTTCGCATCATAAACAAAATAAAGTATGAAATCATACATGAATAAAACATCATAGGCCAGGACCCCTAACAGCAACTTGTGCTTGTATTGGAGCTCGTCACAAGTTAAACATAATAATGAATCAGATTGCAGAAAAATTATTAGTAACAAGGTTGATATTATAAACAAAAACGGCCATTAAGTATAACAAGTATCGACCTCGTTTATGGGTTATATGAGTAGATACATCATATAACAAACACCCAAAAACAATGCAAAGAAAGGGAAGGGATGAGAAAGAGAAATGTGACAAAGGGAAAAGGTGGGAATGAGAAAGAGAAGAAAGGGTCTACTTATTATTATCAATGTCAGAGTAAAATAGCTTACCCCATCATAATCTTATTTGCTTGATTCCTACGCACTGTATGAAGCATGATAAAGCATGTACATACTACGAAACAAAGTGCTCCTGACATAGCACCAATTATGATGCCTATTATAGCACCAAGTGATAAGCCACTTCTACCAGAGTCTGTGGGGATATAAGAATAATGTAAAGATAATGAGTTTAAAGATTTGGTACATAATTATGAAAGAGTAAAAATTGGTATTGAAGAAACTCAGATAAACGTAGAAATAAGAAATGAAGAGCAGATAAATATCATGCAAAATTTATTTGACTGTAGAAAAGTAAAACAAGTGATATAAGATTAAGTTGAATATCAAAAAGTCCTAGAATGATGAAATTGTAAAATAAGGACAAACGTGTACAACGAAGTTATTAAAAAGAAAACGATAAAATCATGGAGACATATCAATTAATAGGAAGTAAAATTGAAATAGGTAAAATGTTGTTTTTTTTAATCTTGTCAGAATCATCTATAGGGAAGTAAAAAGTAGATCTCGTTTTATTCAAATCAGACGTTTTGCTGCTCTTTCCTTACACTTTCTCGATGTGAGTTGAAAGTTACATTACAAACCAAAATCGCATTAATTATGTGTATTCAGTCTTAGTAGCACAATGTTCTTCTAGGCTTACCTCTCGAACAGTCCTCCTCTGTGTAATCCGTTGGACATGCGCATGTAAATGTCTTGAATCCATCTGCGCAAGTTCCTCCATTTTGGCACGGATTGCTTTCACAGCTATCACTACCTAATAACACATAGCCAAAGAGAAATGCGCGATTATTAAAGTAATAAACATCCTAGCGATTCTGGGCAATATTTCTCTTACAATATCATGACTTTTTTCCAGTTATTTAATTAAAACGTGAATATATCTTGATATGACCAATGAATCATTGGTATTACTCTCGTTATTCTATCGTCATGTCAACATATTTTTCTTCCTTCTACTCATTCAGTTAAATCCGACCTCGAGTATAAGATCATAATTAACGAAAGGAAAAAAGACCCCAAACTTAAACCTCAGTTACATCAACGGCATCAACAACTTACAGAACGAACGAATCATTTCATTATCCTTGGTGGCCGGGAATAGGTCTCTTTAAATTTTAAAGTTTAAACTTTAAAGGTTGAAAAATGTTTTTTATGTTTAAATGGAAGCTAGAGCTAGGCTAAGATTAAAGTTCCATGGTTTAAATTCGACATTCGCTTTGTACTGATGAACAAGTGTCAATGGATTATGTATCCTAAGGAGCTTGCTAAGACAAGAGAGGAAGTAATGGCGTACGTGGGAAATGGCAGAGGGAAAACTTTCACAGTTTAGACCAATCGTATTCCCCCCACAATTCAACAAAGGAAAGTGGGGGTGACTGCCTGCTATCCCCTACGTTTAAAGTGCCATTTGTTAAAAGCCTGCATCCTGTAAATAAGGCGGTTAAAGGTAGTATTTTTTAATTGATTGAAATCTTGATATTTTTAATATGTTCTGGTTATCATTGTGCCACTTTTTCGGGTGCATATAGATTTTTGTAAAATTGATATTTTATAGTGATATCCTGTTTCCCAAGCCTTTGTTGTATTCCCAATAAATTGGTTGACAAACAAATAAGTAACACAGGAATGAAGACAAATGAAGCACTACATGAGTGTACTCACTATCTGAGGCGAATTCTGCAACATAGAGGTTCTCATTGAGATATGTATAAGTCCCGTTACCAGGACTCAGCTCAGCGGCTTCTCCACCAATACTATCTGCCGATGCCTGCGATGTGGCCTCGATAGTAATCAGAAGGTCACCGATCACGCTACCGTTTCGGAATGAGAGTACGTCACATGTAATGCTGGTTAGTTGAGGCGAATTTAGGTTCATCCTCAAATAGGTTGTAGTCTGTGAAATAAATAAATTCAAGGTGTCTCTTGTATTAAATTTCATTCTGAGTGAAATAATTTGAGAAAAAAAACATGAGATGTTGATTTTTCACTGAATGAGGATACTCGCAAATAAACATCTGTTTGCATGTCATGTGGCACTAACCATACTGTTATCGGTCTGAGACTTTTAGTTTATTATGTTTTATTTCTTAAAAGTTCTAAGGACAAATATAATTTCACTATTCCCCCCCCCACCCACACCACACACACACGCACAAACACACACGCACACATTGACAACCATAGGCATAATAGGGGCATTCTAAAAATATCTGACACTATAATAATAAATAATAATATGGATATTTATATAGCGCCGGTATCCGCCAGGCTCTGACGCTCATGGCGCTGTACATACATGTATTACTATCACAAAAATATAACATTCTTAACTAAAATAAAGTAAACTAAAACAACACAAATTATTACGCTACATTGACATGATTAAATAGCACTGTTTAGAAATAAACGAATATCATATTACTTAACAGGAGACATAATGCCCCAGTTCCATTTAGAGATTCACCATTCACGTATGTAAGCCTTTTTTATAGATAGGCTACCTACGTGTTGTTGAATTATCATCATTGATTTTCCTCGTGTTATAGTGCAACTAAGTTGTGCTTACCACACCGCAATAGATAGTTTCCAGTTTCATAAAGGCATCTGAGTTTTGGTCTTCAAGTTCTTCTGAGAATTCAAGACGACTGTCGTTTCGTCTGTTGGCTGTGATCTCAATCCTTATGTAGCTCGTGAATTGTTCGACTTCTGCGTGCAACAAGGACATTGTGAGGGTAGAGGTGAGACCTTTATCATAACCACTAGCCCTTCTTAAAGCGTTGAGAGCCCTGACTTAGCCCCCCAAAATGATGACACAATTTAACTTGAATTACATGATAATGTGTAAGAGGATGTCATTTTGGTTTGTTATTCCTCTTGTAAATGTGTCATGCGTAATTTGTACTCGTATTGGTTTCTCAAAATCAAAATTTCTACATTAAGCAAAGAAGTAGCGAACTTCAAAACAAAACAACAGCGACAAATAAAACTGAAGATTAGTCAAGTATTAAGGTAAGAAGAATAACGTTAGTTGCAAATTGAAATCTTTTCATTTCAGTAATATCAAATCATTTAAAGGTTGAACATACCAGAAGAAGAGGAGGTTGTCTTATATGTGGTTGATTCATCTCCTGTTCCTTCAGTCGTTGGTCCTCTCGTAGCCATGGTTTCGCCATCTTCTTCTGTTGTGGTTAGACCAGTTGTTGCAGTTCTAGCTGAATCCATAGTTGATGTAGAAGTTGTACTGGAAAAATCGGTTTGGCCTTGCGGCGTTGGAGTAGTGGGTTGCGTGGTTTCGGTAGCTGCCGTTGATTCTATTACTGTTGACAGAGGCGTTCCTTGGGTTGTGGGAATTTCTAGAATAATAAGATTTTTTTTTGTAAGTTGTATCAGTAAAATGAGTAAGTTACATGAGAAGGAAAAAAAGATACTATGTGACATAATCTCCGAAAGACACAGTACTTGCAGATAATGTCTGCGTTTCTAAAATTCAGCAAAGGTCGGTTGATATTTGCACTTTTACCACGAACACTTCTAATCTGTAGTGATACGAAATAGTTTGGCATAATGTTTAGATTCCACGAAAGGTTCTTCAGACGCTGATGTTATTTCAGGTTCTTCAGTCACTTCCATATTGTTCCATTCCATCCGTTTTTGTCAACATTTGGAATGTGAAGAGCTTTTTTTCCCTTCTCCTTTTCCACCCGCTAAATAGAAGATTTTCGGCAGGAAAATTTTAAATACGACCCCCCACACACACACACACACACGCACGCACACACATACACATAAACAACAAAAAAGCACACTATTCAAAATGGTCTCGCAATGCCCATGTTTATGGCCGAACCGATCATCATAGTGTTGAGCAAGAAATCGATTCCCAATGCTAAGTAGAATATTTTGAAAGGCGAATTTTGTGAGGACCACCTCCTTCCCGCTTCATAATGGTCTACTGATGCCCATGCTTATAACTTATCATCTAATAACGTATTGAGAAAAGAATACCCCTTCCTAACCGATCATCATAGTGTTGAGCAAGAAATCGATTCCCAATGCTAATTGGAAGATTTTCTGCAGGCAAATTTGGTGACAACCCTCCCCCTCATGCCCCAAACCCCTCCTACTCCCTCAAAATTGTATAGTGGGACTCTTCATCAAGACCTATCATCAAATTACCTGTTGAGCAATTGAATTCAGTATAACCAGGAGCGCAGGTGCAGTTATACATGTTGATTCCATCCGTGCAGGTCCCACCATTAGCACATGGATTAGATTCACACTCATCAAGTTCTGCATGCACAAACATGAAACGTGACAAACAAGGAATAAAGAGAATGAAAGAGCGGATAGTCGAGAGGAAGAGAAATGGATAGGAGAAGGAAGGAAGAATGGAATATCAGAGGGAGGGATGGAAGGGAGAGAGGATGTAAAATAAAGTGACAGTAGTGGAAGATATTGATAATATAGAGAGGGCTTAGGATGATTTACATGAAGATTTGTTTTTTAACATTTGTATTGTATAAATGTGGGTAGAAATATTCTTGTAGATATACTTCGTCTTGGCAGACATGGTAAAAAGGGTCAACTAGATGCGCAGAATACTAATTTTAACTTCGGGCAAATTACCTTGAAGTCATCCTTCTTTGTCTATACAACACGCAACCTATTTTAGTCGGTACAGACTGAGAGGGCTGTAGAAGCTTCACAGTTTGTGTTCACATTCGATTGCCAGGGGAATAATGAATGATTTTAACGACGGGAATAACTTTAATCATGGTTTGACACAGGAGCAATCAACGAATGTCCCAGAATACCAAGCAAACTATTGCCCTAAAAAGACGAGCTTCGAAATTATTTTAATTGGATGTTATGTCAGGTTTTAATAGCTCATGTAACATTTTTCAAAACTTCTGCATTGTCTTGTTTTTTAGTCCTCACTTATATCTTGCTTTTTCAATTGAAAAAAAAGTAAAAGAAACTTACCATTGCATGTGAGCCCATCATCATGAAGCTGAAACCCAGGAAGGCAAGAACACGAGTAGTTTCCCGGTGAGTTGATGCACGTCTGATTGCAATTTTGAGCTCCGAGGCATTCATTGATATCTGAAAGAAATACAAGAAAAATGGGACAAGACAGTTTCTGAATTATTTCATGTAACTTCCGATGATAATTAGTATTACCTTCGTGATTTTTCGTTTTACTGGATCCTTTTGAAGACCGGTCGTGCAGCATATGGGCTACCCAGCTTCCTCCTTTGGAACTGTATATATTATACGACTACTACTACTACTACTACTCCTACTACTACAAGTGCTACTACTACTACTACTACTACAAGTGCTACTACTACTACGACGACGACGTCGACTAGTACTACACAGCTTACAACAACAACAACAACAACAACTACCCAAGCTACTACTTCAACTACTAATAATACTACTACTACTTCTACTACCAGTACCACTACTACTACTACTACTACTACTACTACTACTACTACTGCTGCTACTACTACTACAGCTACTACTACTTCTTCTTCTACTAGTACTACTACTACTACTACTACTACTACTAATGGTATAATAGTAATTACCTGAGCAAGAATCGTTTCCTGTTCCTTCAAAACCCTCATTACAAGTGCAGTAGTAGCTTCCATCAGTGTTTGTACAGTTTCCGTTACGGCAAACATCTGAAGATAGGTCACATTCGTCGATATCTAAAAAAAAAAAAAAGGAAAAGGGGAACATATACAATATTTCATGTGCATTAATAATAAGTGACCAATAAACCTGCGTTTCAGAGCATGGTGTCCCACCAATGAGGTATATGATTAACCTTAATCATTGAAACCTTTACACAATATGTGCTTGTTTTCTAAAATAAAGTTTAAATTAGTTTAAGAATTAGGTTATTTACAGCAAATGAAGGGAAAACCTTTGGGGTTCTTTAGTGAAAGGGAGACGTTTTTTGCTATCCCCGTTTGCAGCTCTTTACCTAGGTTTTGTAACTGAATATATTATTTCTAACATGCTTTCAGCGCCTTATCAAAAATAAGTGGTTTCCTCTTACCTTCCTGCATGACTTGATGATCTGGGGCAATAAGTCGTGATCTCGGAAGCAATTCCATGAAAATCTGCTCTAGGCTGGAATCATCCAAGGATGCACCAGGTTCTACGTCGACCCGGAAGGACATCAGAGCATAATTTCCGGTCAAGGTATAGTTATGTACAGAAACAGCCTGCAGTGTGTCGTTACCCAATACTGATGATGTGTTGAGGTAACGCAAGACCTGAAAAAACGATTTATATATAACAATTCCATGAATTCATTATTTAAGCTTTAATGGGAACCTTGCTCTGACTAGACTAATGTTTCGGATGAGCTTGACATGACATGAACCCAAGAAAGGCTTTAACAATTTGTACAATAATTTTGTTTTTCTTCAAAAAATGAAAGTCTTCAAAATGTCTCTGTTAATATTTTATATACACGTAAGTTGAATTTGTTTTTGAAATGAGAAACTGTATATGCACAGGGTATCCTGTTATCTCATCAATGGCTTATTAAGTTAAGTGTACGCAGTAAGGGGAAAAGAAATAATTAATATCTTGTTTGACTATAAATGATTGTAATTTGTCAGATTTTAAAAAATTAGTGGACAACTAACTTTCACATTAAAGAAAGGAATACTCCGAATCATAAGTGAAGCTTTATTTACGTATTCAATTGTATTTATCCGGATTAACTTACATCTTGGGCTAACTGACGCTGGTTATCTTGCGATTCGACCACAGAAGGATACGATTCAACGCTTAATCCACTGATGAATGTAAGACGAACGTTGAGTGATAACGTCAGCGCGTCTATTCAATTACAAAATTACAAACACAAGAAATAAACTGTGAACAGACTCTTATGCTAAATTAGTGGGATAATGATCTAATCTTTAAACCACAATGTTAAAAAAATAACATATGTATATCTTTGTCTAGGGGCGGGGACACACCTCTGCCCTGAAAGTCATCATGCAAGTTTTTAGTTCTTGCAAGCGAGCGAAAAAGTGAACAACTATGGTGGCACTTTAATACGGTTTAGGGTTATTTCGTCATCAATATACACGGATATGAAAAGCAATGTACTTGATTGTGAATAGACTGTAGTCATTTTGTGAATGTTGGTATTTTACATTTCGACCTCCCCCCCCCCCCCCCCCCCTCCCCTGCGTATGCGGATCCGCTCCGTAGTAATAGAGTCCTCATTAGGAATACACGGAATAGATATGTTGCTAAATTAACAACTGATTGAAAGGTTTATTTGATTTGTATTACAAAACATACAAGAGAGATTCATTCTTTGACAATTTGCATCGAATTTCGTTGCCTATTAGGGGTGTCTTCATTTTTTTTTAGATTTGTTCCCATAATGTTGATCCGCCCTGTAAATTGTGGATAAAAGTTTTTCTTCCGATTACATGGCATAGAGATGTTGCCAAATACGAAACAGATTTCAAGGTAATGTCGAATTATCCGGTTAGAAGGAAAAAAAAGGAAATAGATTCATACGTTGGCAGGTTCCATTGATTTCTGTTGTGTCCTCCCTACACACGCATGAGAAGTTACCCGGTGTGTTCATGCAAACATGATCTAGGCTGGACTCGCAGACACCCGTGCCCGATTCACATTCGTCGATATCTGTTGAAAAGGGCACAAAGGGAGAACAAGGTTGTATATTTAACGAGAGACATGCCATAACGTTAATTTAGAGGAAGCATTAAAATGAAGGGCAACACGTTTAATTAAGTGATTAAGGTAGCTATTACTTTTTCTTGAATGAAGCCGTTACCCGTATCAAAATTACATGACCATTCCCTTTCTTATCTTTTCTTTTTCTCTTTTTTGTTGTTTGTTTGTTGCAGATTTCTGTTTCATGCTCTGACATGTTCCACCATGCTTACACATTTCTGGTAATGTTGCAATCTGTAGATTTAGAATATATTTATTCTTGTAAAACTTCAATATTGTTTTAAAAATTTGTTTCATTTATCTGTAATATTATATGCAAGGCACTGTGTGGTATATTTGTTGTCCCGTATTGTTGTATTTTTTTCATGTCCATGTAATCTGGTACTTATATTTATCTTTTAATCATATGTCTTAGGTCGGCCACTTTATAAGGGTCACTTCCTTTCTGGCCGCTACCTACCAAGCAGCATCTATATTGTTGTATTCTAATTGTTAAACGAACTATTTTTTACGATGTATGTTATATTTCTTAATTGCTTTGGAGAAATCAAATTGAATATATATATGTATATACTGTATATACATATTAGTGGATAGGGGGGTTGGAGGCTCGAGGGCTAGGGGGCTTGGGGATTTTGCTTTGATTTCATCGCTTAGATTCAATTTTAATCAGGAATAGGGGCCTTGAAGCGTTTTTGTAGTGGAGATTCCCCCCCCCCCCCCCCCATTGAGCCCCTACTAGTTGATACCTTGACATTCTTTAGGGGAAGAATTGTCGTATCCGGAGTGACAGGTGCAGTTGTAGTCTCCAGGCAGGTTGATACAGGTTGAGATTTCACGCGGGCATAGGTCCACATCAGATGCACATTCGTCAAAATCTGATGAGTAACGAGAAATCTTTTTCAAATAATGGATTTGAAGCCGGAATTATATATAAAAAGGGCAAATCTGATATCAACAAATCATTGTCATGGAACTGGATTCAAAGAGAAATAATTGTATTGAGAGGAGAAATAATTATTACATTTCTTTATGCTCTATCACATTGTTAACATTCTCTTCTCTCTCTCTCTCTCTCTCTCTTATCCTCTCTTTCTCTCTCTCCCTTGTTGCTACCCCTTTCCTTTTCACCGCCTCTCTCACTCGTCTTTGTTTAAACGGTCGTTTATAAGAATTAAACAAGTTAAAATATCCTTTACATTTTTGTTCTCTCCTTACCCAGGTTTAGGACTGCTGGTAAAACATGACGCATATCTGTTATCGATCAGCAAAACGAATATTCCACCTCCACCCCCATTTAAAAAATAATCTTTGACCTAATTTTGTTCCCCTTGAAATCCAGGTACAGCCATCTTAACATACCTGAACACGTTCCGTTTTCGAGTTGAAAACCAGGCTCGCAAGTGCAGTTGGCAGATTCGGTGGAATTCCTCAGAGCTTCATCACAATCACTTATCTCTGTGACAAGATACAACAAAATTTCGAGATTACAATATATAAAATGCCATGAAGAAAAACGCCGGTAAAGCCGTGTTGAAATTAAACAGTCATGTAAGAGCTGAGGACATTTCTCCTAGCATATATTATGGTAATTGGAAATAAACCAACTATCACCGTCAATGGGTTATCCTGTGAAGATATATTAATTTTTTTTCGAATTATTTTATACTTATATTTATACGAATAAAAATGAACCAGTCATTCAACCAGTTATTCAATGGAGAGATATCTTTATGGATTATTTAATAAGTTATCATCCATGATTTTTTCATAAATATTTCTTTTCAGGTTGTGGTTTAGAAATCTGTTTTGACTGATAAGTTAGTATAAGGCCTAAAGTTCAGGTAGGTGTTACGGTTAGGATACTAGTTAATGTTACAATAACTGATAAATTATTTCTTTCTTGGTCATATGCCAACCTCCCTCTGACAAGCTTTAGAAAGTTGAGTTGTTTTTTATTAAAATCAGAAAAATGAGAGAAACAAATTATTGAAAGTTTGAGAAATATTCAATAAAACAAAATGAGAAATGTGTAAGATTGTCATGGGTGAAACACAAATCGGCAACATTGTGACGTATTTTGCGAGCCTCTTTCAAATTTGCTCTGTTCAGAGAATTTCATAAGATTTCATTTTATTAGTTATTGATGACGGGAAAAAATCGTTTCATACTTGGGTTCAGTGCATACAAGCATACAAATGTACCTGCAATGGTTATATTTAGGCTGAATGTATGCTTGAACATTTTCTTGAGGGAAAATAAGTTTTTTAGCAGAGGACAAATGAGTGGGGGCCTCGCAAGATACGTCACAGAGTCACCAATTTGTGGTCGATTGATCACACCTTCAATCCACTTTTTAATTCTTCTATTCGTTTTTTGCTCAAATTTTCACTTCTTTGTATTTTTATTTGTTCGCTTTTATTTAAACCAACTTAATATCAGAGTGGACTTTCCCCTCTAAAAGATCTTCTTATTAACCTTTATTCGGAAGGCGAAATTTCAACGAAAAAAAAGAAAGTTGTTTTTATGGTAGCAACGTGTGTGTGTGTGTGTGTGTGTGTGTTGTATGATATTCATCGGTTTCCGGGACAACCGATGAATATCATACAACACACACACACACACACACACACACAGCCCCCACACCCTTATTATCAACGATGTTGCTCTTACAAGTATTTACTTTTTCAGAGATTAGTTTTGTTTACTTACCATCACAAGAACGTTGATCAAGGGCAAGAATATAACCCGTGTTACACGAACACGTGTAAGAACCTAGATTGTTTTCACAATTCTGTTCACATTCATTCGTATCGTTGGCAGCACATTCATTGAAATCTAAACAAAGCAAGATAAAAAATGATACGAAAATGGCTTGTAGCCTATTTCAATTATCCTTATCATACAATGTCATGTTCATTTTAGGAGGAGAATAATGTGTGTACATAAGCTCATATCCTTTACAGCTCATTTTGTGTATGTTATTACCAAAGAAAAAAGTCAATCAGTCCCTTAATAGTGTCCGACAGTGCACAGTGAAGTCTAGAAAGCAAACGGATTTCCTTGCATAATTTGAATACTACGACACTGCTAACGTTTAAATTGTACATACATGCGTGACATATTCATAACTCATACAAAGTTCTACATAATTTAATACTGGCTGCAAAAGGGATACACTACCTTTAAATCAAATTTACTTTAACTCACTTACTTACCAGGCGTCTTAATCCAGGTTTTTTTCTTTCCCAAATGCATTCATCTTAAGTTAAGGGGTTTTTTAAAAAAAACGAAGAATTGTTACTCGAAAGGGGGAGAAATAGAATATGTATGATAGGCCTCTTTAAATCAAGCTCACCATAGCAAATGGTACCATTGCCTGAGAGCTCGGGTGGACAAGGGCCGCATGAGTACTCTTCGTCTGAAGACGGAGGCTCATCGAAGCAGATAACCCCCTGGTAGCAGGGCGTACCCTCACATGAATCATAGTCTACGTCACAATGATCACCTGACCAACCACCAGAACAGTTGCACGTGACTACCTGCAATTTGATTCGTTCGATTTGATATGCTTTATTGATAAAAATGTACATTAAAAAAGCAACCAGGCTGAAACAGATTGAATCATAAAAGATTGATACAAACAAAACATTAAACATCGATGAACACGTCCGACTGGAAACTGGAGCCCTGCACGGGATTTGTTAAAATACAATTATGTGTAGATTAGATTACAAAATATGAATGGCAACTCACAATGAATAATCAAGGAGAGAATAAAAGAAAAGAAAAAGAAACAAGAGAAGAGATCGCACGACCCCCGAAAATTCACCCGTCGGAAAATTGAAAGCAAGGGTTGTCTCCGCTATAGCGTTTAGGTGTGTTATTTCCTGAGATGGTTATGCGCGCGACATAGAAACAAATGTCGCAATTTTTTCGCGGTTTCATAATAACCTGAGTTTGTGTTTGATTGGTCGATGTGCATGATCCATTAGATTACTTGAATCCCTCACACCATCATAACATGTAGATTTACTCAAAAGAGGAAAGAGGGGGAGGGTTGACGGGGAATTTACCACACGTAATGAAATATAGGGATGATGATATTCCGTAATAATCAGAGCATGTGTCCTAAAACTATGACTATACCAATATACTCACCGCGAATCCGTTGGCATTTAGATCCTGCCCCTCTGCTTGGTTGTCGAAGTCACACACGCCTTCGTTCTCACATCGGCATATCAAGACCTTGTATGACAGCGATGTCTCTGCTCCTCGGTCGTCCTTCACAATGATCTCGATGGATGATACATTCAGGTCAGGTGGTGTCCAGGTCAAGATACCATCTTTATGAGAGAGAGCGAGAGCGAGAGAGAGAGAGAGAGAGCGAGAGAGAGCGAGAGAGAGACGAAGACAGTGGGGAATGGGATGGAGGAAGAGAGAGAAAGAAGGAAACAATGAAAGGGAGAGGGGAGACCACGAGAGAGAGAAGGATAGAAAGGAATAATCATCGTAAAGAGAGGGAAGGGGAAGAACAACAGTGGGAGAGGAGCGAAAAGGGGGAGAGTGAGCGCGAGACAAGGAGAGGAGAGAGGGAATAGAGAGATAAGGAGACGGAAGGGAGAGAGGGAGAGGAGGAAAGGTCAATATAAGGTTCACTCATCAACAGATCAATCTTAAATTTTAGCATTGTGTCGCATTAATCGTTTGAAAAATTATCAGTTTGATTTATCATCAAATAGACTTTTATGATATTTTTTAAAACAAATTCATAAGCAATAATTTGTCCATACCGGAGCTGATATTTGCGCCATCTGGTGCAGTATCGTTGAATGTAAAGAATACCTCATCTTCTTCGTTAGGGTCGTGTGCAGAAATATCCAAGGTTACGGTCACGCCCACTTGCATAAAGAGAACCTCCCCTTCTTGTAAAGCATCTGTCTCGCCTATCTCTACCACACTAGTTACGTTCGGAGGAAAATTATCTAGAGAGGTAACAAAAAACGTAATATTTACAAACTTTACATTTATGTAATTTCAAAGAATATCAAGTAGCATTTCGAAGCATCATTGTAGACTTTCAAAAACAAATTCACACTCGTATAAACATGCTTTTGCCATTTTAAAACAAAAGGTATGACATTTAGAAATTATGAACGATAGGCACACATAGATAATGCTACTAGGTTTCAACTGATAATTGAATCCTATCATTGGCAATTCGGCATGTTCGGAGGGATGAAATGCGGCCATATTTTAATCAATTTATAGGTCGTGATGTGTAATACAAAAATCTAAACAAATCGTATTTCGCCTCTTCTTTGACTGGTTTATTTTCTAATGTTAAAGCAATAATGCATAACAAATATTATTGGGATTGGATGGGATGTACGTCTTTTGGTCCATTATGTAAATAATGATAGCCCAGGCACTAAATACACTGTCTTGGTCTCAGAATCTATAAGATAATTGCTCATTTGTTTCTTTGTTTGTTTTACCTGACTACTAGGAAAGCATGTGTATGCTTGTTTTATCTCCGAGAGGTAAGGATTAATGACGATTAATGCTTTATCAAAGGGCACTAACGCATTGAATTGATTTCGAAACCGGAACCTCCCGGTTACGAGACCTCTGCTCTACCACTGAGCCATTGCGGCAATTTCATACATTCTGACATGGCTGATTACGAAACATCTTCTGATCTCCCTCAAAGTATCAAAACGGTGCAGCATATTGCCACATCTCACCAAGGTTTAGGAGGTCATTGTCGAGTTGGTTCCCGGTGGTCATAGTTTGTTGACCCATCTCTGGACTCACAGCGAGGTAGTCGAACAGGCACGCCTCGTCCTCCCCGCAAGCCTCTCGGGCTGCCTGGGTTCGGTCAGGGTCGAGAGCAAGCAACTCGTCTAGGAACATTGGTTTGTAGTCGCTAGGATTGTAGTAACTCCAATTGCCATCGCCGTATTCAAACAGCGATTCGTTTTCACTGATCATCCCTAAGAAGTAACAATATCAATGTTAACATATTGTTAATGGAAGGTTGGTGAAGATAAAGTAATGCATTTATTTACATGACTGGAGAATCTACATCACCATCATCATCACAACCATTATCAGATCAATTTCTCATCCGTTTTCCTTAAGACAATCTATCAACCTCTTTATTTGTTTACGTTTCTCTTTTCCTTTTTCCTTTCTATCTGCTGCCCACCAAATTAGTAAAATGGACAATATCATGCAAAAATTAAATTCCGAATGGAAAGTTCGTCCTTCGCTGATCCTTGTCATAATACGAATCCAACACAATTTTGCTTTAATTATTTGAAAGAAACAGCGCATACTTAAACAATGAGCTTTCTACGTAAATACTTTCTTTCTTTACTTTTGATTTCATGTTGATGTGAATTCATGACTGTTAGGGTGCGTTTATGCTTGATTTTGAAGGTAAGTGAGCGATCTGAAACGCTCATCGTAATCGCAGTTCCACGGTGTACTGTTTATGCTCACTTCTCTGGCTCCTCCAGGCAATTCGAGCTGGGTGGCCTTCGGTGGCCTTGCAGCTGGATTCGCAAACCTGCACTGCGCATGCTACGTAGACCCACTAGACAGTCCGTTTAAACGCGTTTACAAATGATTGTGCGTTTATGCCTCCCAGAATCGCCGATTTTGCAGCATCGCCGATCGTAAACGCACCTTTTTGTGAGTTTACGATCGGCGATCGTGATCGCCGTTTTTCGGTGATTCTACAAAAATGAGAAAGGACGTAACCGTGTTTTGAACTAAACGCGTAATAGATGCCTGATTCTGGCCAAAAAAGTTGAGCATAAACATACCCTTAGAGAGAGATTGATGCATTACAACCTCGACATCAGAACATGCCAACAAGTGTGAAAAAACTGTCCTTCATATATATTAGCATATGGGGAAACAAAATTATTATATAAAAAATATACTGTCCTTATCATCAATCAATAATACTGTACACGATATCTTTTTAGGATAAAGAAATATAAATGATAAAAGACACCCTTATGCTGCCCCGAATTGTTACTTAACGATACATAACAACCAAAAAGACACTGATTTTACTATATCGAATACATTTGGGACTGATCTCAATAAACACTAAGACATGGTTTGACAATTAAACTATTTGGAAAACTTACATGACTGTCCAAACTGAAATATTTCTCTGTCTGTTAAATTTCTTCCAGGCAGATCCATTAACAATGTTCCATTCCTGAGCAGAAAATCATCTGATTTATTCCCATTCACATTGCCTGGTTAAACACAAAGAAAAAAATGTATCACAATTTTATATATTTTTTGGTTATTATTTCAAATTGTACAACGTTGAATCTTTATGTAAATCATATTAGCATATTCATGGGTTCCATCTGGAACTTATACCTATTTTGGGGAGCTTTAGGTTTTCATGCCGAAAACTTATAGGAAACTGTTTCGAAACCCATATAGAATGGACTTAAGGACTAGGGTTAGGGACAAGGTTAGGAGCAGTGAAATGATAAGGTTAAAGGGATAGTTGAGTTCTGTTGCAGAGGGCGCTACACAATTTTTTTTTTTGTGAGATAATGAAAAACTGAGTTTCAAATTTGAAAGAACATAATATTTAAATGACAAAATCGTCTTTCTTTGATCATAATCGGTTCAGAGACGGCTAAAATATAACGATTTCTAATACTTGTGTACCACTACAAATATTAGATATTTTGAAAAATTTGAAAAAAACTTTGAAAAAAAACGAAATAACGCCTTTTACGTCGTATTTCAGCCAATGCCGATGATGGTGTTCTGTTGGCATTTTCGCGTTGCTTATATTACCCACAATTAGCCGGCTCATGTATTGTTATTTGTAATTAAATAATTAATTAACGGTCACCATGTTTTTTGGAAAGTGGAGCTAAATTGGTATGATCGTATTGGCCAAATTTCACAAATTTGGGGGTCTAAAATTACCTTCATAGCAAGTTTAGGTTCTAAAAGGGCACTACAAATGTCATAGATAAGAATAAGAGCAATAACCATGCACTTTGGCGGCATTTGCGGTCTGAAAACAGAACTCAACTATCCCTTTAAGGGTTCCGGTCTTATTTCCTAATTTGAGTTTAATATAGGATTAGGGAAAGATCTAGAGTTACTTGATAATGGGCTTCTCATTTTTGTCTATAAACAGTAAGTGGCGCCATTTACATATACCTACAAAAGAATTAAATTAGTCTGGGATATGCTATGTATTCAATATTTTGTTCACACTCATTATTATCTGAGGGGTCCACAATTTACAAGCTTTGCTTTTCAGTGGACCTCTCCATTTTCTCAAAATATAAATGCAATTAAGTTTTAAAATTCTTTTTTTTTTTGTCTTCCTAAAATGTATAAATTATTATTAAAATTTGTTTATTACCAATGTAACTATGTTTTGTATACATTTTACATTGTATTCGTTATTATTTATTGTATTTTGTTGGAAATGAAAAAATAAAAATGAAATGAAATGAAATGAAATGTCTCTTAGCGCTTGAAAGAGATAACTGATTGAGGGCGTATTTTACAGACGTTTGCAATACAGCAATGACTTTCGAATCCTACCGGGTTACCCATCAATTTGATGGTCTGATGGTTTGTTTTTACCCCTCTGCTAAGAAAGCATGTGTAGGCTTGTCAGCATCCGGGGTATCTACGGCTATAAGTCCTCTCCGAGGGCCCTGGTAATGAACATTGATGCCTTACCTACGGGAACTAGCGCATCAATAGGTTTCGAGCCCTGGACCCGCCCCATACGAGACCATTGCTCTACCACCGAGCCATCGCGCCTGGGTGGAGAAAAGCAATCTAGATAACATGCCTTACCGAGCAGACCCCTTCCGGTTCCATTCTGCGCATACTCAGAAGGGACCATGACACCCAGATCTAAGATGCCGTTCTTGAAGGTCACGGTGAAGGACGAACTGGGATAGCCTTCTGGTTGGAAGAGCGCTGTGACCTTGATCTCACCTTCAGAGACAGTGTCATTTTCCGCGGAAAGGATGAAGGTCGAATCCCGTGAGTCGATTCCATCTACATGAGAATGGATACATTTGTTATTTGGTTCCGATTTAATGTTAAAAGTCACAAAATAGATACGATGGAAGTCGAATTGAAGGAGCGAAATTGCTCTGAATCTGAAAGGAAAGATTTGGTTCGATTTTTCATTAAAGAATGATAAAAGCCCTACGGAGGATAGGGTGAAAGTTGAATAATCCGGATCGAATGCATCTGCACATATTTGGATATATTGGACTTGATTTCCATATTTACTTGTATGTAAGCAAATACATTTATATTTCATAAGACAACATTTATTTGGGTTCTTAATACCAATCCTTGCCTGATATCAATCAGAAGGTGTCCATTTCCGTACCAGCGATGGAACAACCTCAACGAATGAATGACCCGACATCCTCACTAAGAACTTCCAGAACAGAGATGAGGCGATCTGTTTAACCCACCAAGGCGATGGACGTATTAAGAACAAGATCGCGAGAAGGTGTGTTGTGAAATCTCACCAAGGCGCCATGTTTAAGACGACAATGCGGGAAGGCGATTATTCAAAACTGACAAGGCACCTTGTTTGAATCAAGAAGGCAAGAATGCGACTAAAGTGAGTTCTAACTAGTCGCTTTCTCGGCAAGGCGCATTGGTGAGTTTTAGCACCTCGACTTCTTGTCGAATAGCATGGTGCTTTGGCGAGTTAAACAAGTCGCCTTCTCGCTGCTCGTTTAAGATTCTATAGATGTTATATTAAATCTAAAAGACAGTTAAAATACTTACCAACTAAAAATTCTGTCATGTTAATGGCGGTACCATTAACTAAAATACTCATGTCTGTCCTGTTATCATTCAGCTGAAATTCGACCTATCACAAATAAAGCAAAAAAAAACACTGAATTTATCACAAACTCACATGGCAGCCCAAGGGCTGTATTGTATGGAGTTTACAGAGTAAAATCATAAAATCTTATAAAAGCTTATGTATAGAGAAAATGGGAGAGAGAAAGAGACTCAAAGGGTGAGACGATACAGAAAAGAGAGAAAAGGAGAGTGTGAGATAGTCGCAGATGGCGCGAGAATCGTTTAGTGTGTGCTTGGCTTTAGGAATAGGTTTAGGGTTAAGATAAGTAATTTGTTTATTCTGGTGAATTTAATACCTTTAGGATTTCCCACACATGTGACTGTTGCAGCTCTTCAGAAAATGTCCTAGACTTAAACCGAATTCCTGATTTATATCCTGGATCACACACTGCACCTCAACCCTAACCCTACTCTTTTAGAGAAACAATATCTGAGGCACTTGTCGGAAGAACAGAATCACCCGACAGCTATTGCCGGTGGCCCGGTGTCACGTACATGCGATCGGTTCCTGCTAGGAGATTTGTTCTGTCGAGATTAGGTACAAATCACCTGCCATACCGGCAGAAGACATTGTAGAAACCACCTACCCTAGTGATGTCTTGTGTTGCAGCGAACCCTGTAAAGACTGTCCCGTGTTCCACAGGAACGCTGTTGTTAAACGCCTTACCAGTTCTGGCTTGCAGTATGAACGGATCACCATGACTGTAAGACATCGTGGTATATTCCCCAAGACCATTGAAGGTGTACTTCCTACCGTCAAGAGTATTGATGTGCGGGTCGCCCCAAAACCATCCTGAAATTTTACGAATCAAGATGGCGATTAAACTTCTTATTGCATAATGAACAAAAGTAGAAGCAAGTGCATAATATGGGATCACCGCCAAACCAACATGATCTTTTACAAAGCAATCCATTCACTTATCAGCCAGAGTTATACGCCACTGCGCTCTCATTGGAAAACACAATGTTCTGAGGTAGTGTCTCTTGACTATACAGAACAAATGATATAATTTGCTGTTTTATTTCATTTACATGGCATTGGTCTTTGATTTAAGATTGTGTCAGAATGATATGATCCCTACCAAGCCTCCTTATCGGGGTCATTCCAGTAGCTCGCCAGCCTTTGAGACCGTTATCGGGTTCGTGAGCGCTCAAACTCTTGTGAGAATGTCTTATGCGCTGTTTGTCTACGGGGCTTTTGATTTCGTGGGCTGTTGTACCCCCAACAACAAACTTAATAAAATCATATTTATTTCTATGGGCAATGTTTTTGTTATTACCGTATCAAAACATCTTGGCAGATCTAATTATAAATTTGATATAATGATGTTTTTTTTTATAGATAACAACCCAACCCAATAAAATTAGTGATGAATACGACTGTAAAATTATATTATGATTATTAGTTATTTGTTTAGTAATAACATAGACATGATCTTACCGAACCATGGTCGTCTATATCCCCAGCAGTGAGATCTTGGACGACGCCTTTCGTAAAGGTTACAGAAATTCCCACCAGCCAGGTCACAGCAGTAGAAACGGGGAAGGACGTCCCTCTCTGTAAAAATGAAAATCATTTTAGGAAAGGAGATCAATAATAAAGAAAGTACATAACGATATAGATAGAGAGAGAAAGAATAGAGAGACAGAGAAAGAAGAGAGAAAAAGAGGGAGAGGATGAAGGGAGAAAAAGGAGAAGAAAGACAGAAGGGGAGGGCGAAAAAACGATATAGATAGAGAGAGATTAAAAGAGAGAGAGGAGAAGAGAAAAAGATAGATGGGGAAGAAAGAGAGAGGGGGTGCACTTGAGATAACAATTAGCAAGTTGAAGAGCTGTCGAATGTCCAGAATCACTTTCGTACATAACTACCGCATCACAACAATCCAATGACGCTTTATTATTAAAACAAACGCTCAAAAAAGCAAGGAAAAAAAATTGCCCCTCAAAAATGGATGTTTCAAACGAATTGATTATAATTATAAGAAATCTAACAAACATGGAAACGTGGAGGTATTGGAAACAGAGACGTTACCACTGTAAACATCGTTTCAATTTAAAAGCCCATGTAAGGGAATAGTAAGCCTTCAAAACTTTATCTCAAGATGTAAGTGTTGCAGCAAGATGAGTTTATGAAAGAATGTACACAATTTAAGATGAAAAGACTTTGTTGTTGAAGCCCTCAATATATGAAAATATAAACGACTGTTATTTTGCGAATAATTTACCTTTTGCCACTTACAACTGGGAAGGCTTTCGGTTATGAAATTTACACCATTTTGGCTTTTTACAAGTTTTCAGATATTCACCTTGCAACTCCTTGCAACGCCTTTTAATTGTAACGATAGTCAAGTGGAATCACAAGAATGTAGGTGTACTCACCAATCCAAGAATAATAGTAGTTAAGGGAATAATAGTAATAAGAGAAGAATCGACGATTGGAGGGCATGACTGCTTGGTAGTGACTGGACCTCCAGAGACTTCTATAACCCCTGATCAAAGCAGACCGATCGTACGTACAACGGTATCCACCACCAAATGAGGGCCACCTAGGCTGGTAACAGGTCGTTCCTCTCCTATCTGTTACCATAATGCAGAGGGAAAAAACATGGTTAATTAAATGCAATATGGCCTACCCCCCCCCCGATCATCCGCTAAAAAGAAAGATTATGCCCAGAACTTGGACCTTAAACCTGTTTTATCCAATTTAAGGTCAACCCCTCGATCAAAAGTTCTGGCTACGACAGTAATTGACAGAAGTCGAGTACTGGTCATGCGATTACAGTAGGAAAGAAACTGTAAGGAAACAATTTAAAATTTTGATTGTGTAGTCGACATATACGTTGAGGTATTGGAATGATCTGAATGAAAATATATACTAAAAGAGAAATGGAAATTGAAATTAAGTATTTTAAGTCTTTTCCCATCTCAACCAGGTGTTAAATGGGTAGCTTGCAGGAGGCAAACGTTAATGTACAATATTCGTAGCACTGTGAGCGTCTGTGAAATGGGGCATGGCTGGAATGCTCCCCAGGAAGTGGAAAATATGCACACATTGTGTTTGGGGAACTATGTATCCGATTTATTAAGCGCTATATTAATGAGGAGTATTATTATTATTAATATTATTTCATTCGCGTGCATTCAACAATTGATAAATCTCCCAATAGAAAAAGAAAACTCTTTCTGGCAAATCAATACTCCTCGGAATAAATTCGTCGCTGGTTTCACGAAGTGACGGTAGTGAGAAAAAAATTGCATTCACTTTGCGTTACGATTTTCCTCACTACCGTCACTTCGTGAAAACAAGGACGAATTGTTTGTCAAAGGGTTTTGTAAGAAATGAAAAGAAAATACTGCTTGCAAAATTTAAAAAAAATTAAAGTTGGATCACTATAGTAGATTGGTGAAAGCTAATGACTCTCATAAATGGGTCGATGGTGTTTACTTCTGTGTACAAGGTGTTTAACCCACATTTGTCCCTCTCGGCACATGTGTAAATGGGTTTACCTGGCAATGCTGGTGTAATATTAATTACAGGGGCGGTTATTATTATCCTGAAGTGGCATGAAAACAATGCTGCTTACCATAGTAATAGCTCGGCAGCCCAATTGAGTATCCATAATTGTACCCAGAGCCGTAACCATATCCGTAACCATAGCCGTACCCATAACCATAGCCGTAGTAGGGATAGTTGCATCCAGTAAACCTTCGATCGATCCTGGCCTGCCAGCGGGTGCAAGGACATGGCTGTGCCCATCGTGCATATGATGCCCTCGATATATCATCTAGGTACCAATCTTGACAGTAACGTCGGGGGTTGACGTACCAGTCTGGATTTTCGTCAAGACGATAGATGTCTCTCCCCTGAGAGTATGAGCAAAAATATGGATTGAATGAGGATGTGATTCATATCATTATTATCATTATAATTATCTTGCCGGTTCTTAGATCAGGGCGCTTGTTGGGTGTATCTTATAGCAGGGGTCTTGTAATTTGTAACGATTTCCCCTATTTGTTCATGATTTATGTCACTTGTTAGGTAGGGAAAATAATGACGTAGCAGCGGCCCTAAAAACGACATTCCTAATTATACTCAGGGTAACAGCACTTACTATAACACTAGTGTTGATACCTCTAAGATCGGGCGAACGCTATACGTATAGCGTTTAGTAAGATTCTACTTTCAACCAATACTCACTCACATCTCATGAATTTAGGTAACGGACATAATTACCGTCCAAACATAACGATATTCCAACTATTTGCATGTTAGATGTCCATACGGTATGCTTTAAGATTGCTTACGTATCGTATATGAGTTTTGTTGAGTTCAGTTGAGGTTTTATCATCCAAATGTTCAAATACAGTAATATAACAATAATAATGATAATAAATGTATGTTTAACAAATATCTTGAATGAATAATAGGGACCAGAAAATAGCATAAAATGCTAATAGTGTCTGGTACCTTTAAAGTACAGTATCTTAACATTTAACAATTTGTATATATATATATATATATATATATATATGAATTATTGAATACAAGTACAACTTAAGCTACATACTATTCTATGTATCTAACATTATACATGTTTGTTTGTTTAGTACAAAGCCTAAACTTGTATAAATATACATTCTGAATAACATAATACAGTAATTAATCACAACTGTCTATAAATATAGAGTACATGTTCATTATATAGCAAGGCTGTTCCTATTGTACAAATATTCACTGTCTAATTGCCCATGATTTATGTTGTTAGGTTAGGGACGTAATAGCCGTCCTGAAAATAATCCTTACCATGCGACCGGTATTGCCGATCCTGAGATCGGGGCGATAGCTTGCGTATCGTATAGCAGGGTAGTTTCCCTGGTAGATATTCAGTCTATCATGCTTGATGTTGTAACCAATCCTAGCAGGTATAGCCTTAGAGTATGGATTCCACTGAAAGCTCCCTTGCTGATACATCGTCAAGACACCGCTTCTCCTGCCGTCACTAAAGAGAATTGCTTGGTAGGTATTGGTCTGAGAAGGGAGAGAGAGTGTACATAAAGTTATAATTCTTTTTTTAATCTTCGAAGGTTCATAATTCCAAAAGTGAATTGAGGTGAGTAATTTCAAAAAATATTTCCGAAAATGACATGGAAATCTTTCTCAATTAGTCGGAATTATAAGATACTATTTCATTCCCTGAACTATCAACAACCTGGTACTGGAAGCTTCTGAAAAACTAGTGAACCTTGTATACAAATAATTATAATAATAATTTGGTTTTATTGTGAAATGTACCTCCTGGCCTGCGATCGATCCTGGAGTCTGCACATCAACCCACGTGACCTTAAGAATGAAGTTGATTCCATTGATGAACTGAAAGGACTCCAATCCTGCCGGAAGTGACAGAGCTCCATACAGTCTTTCTTTCACTGCTGCAAGCAGTGCAGGGGAGTTTCCATACTAGTCAAAACAAAACATCGTAATAGTTATAAAGACAATGATGATGATAATAATAATAATACGAAGAAGAAGAAGTAGAAGAAGAAAACAATAACGATGATAAAAGTAATGGTAACATAACAAAATAGTTAAGCAACAATAACAATAATAACGATATTAACAATGGTGATAAATACACTCTGAACACTACATAATGTACGCTAAGGTTCAACAAAATGTAAGAGCTAAAATCTATTACTCGTGAGATCAACTGTAGAACTGTTATTAGTATTACCATTTCCAGACAAATTATAGTGCACAAATAATATATTGATATCTCAGAACCAAGAATAAATAGTATTGACACAATTATGTACCAAGTCTACCAACCCCGTGCAGTGTAGTTCAAAAATGATTACTTTTAAATTGGATTATGTGGTTGCCCCTTTGAAGCATATTTCTCTCTTTTCTTGCAAATCTTTTTTTTTTCAGGGGAGGATTAAAATGATCCCCAACTCACATGACAATGCCATTCACCCAGCTGAGTAAATAAAACACACCTAGCACGAAATTACGTGACCCTACTAATGCTTGAACAGGATATACAAATCCATTTTGATTGAATACGACTTGTCATATTTGTTTTGTCTTGTTTGGCAAACCAGCTATCAATATATGCAAACACATATCTCCGCCGAAAAGTACTTAAACGTGCTTGTTGAGAGATCTGCAGCGTTCAACCTTTTTTCTTTCAAATATTTTCGTCATTACTCTCTCAGTCGAAATGTCAATTGGAACATTCTCATTTTGATGTTAAATAACAGTTGTGGGCTTCAACACCCTAATAAGCACGATTTTTGTTTACACAGGGCTCTACTCACATTAAATAAAAACGAATGAGTACAATCACAGATAAATGGGGAGCGGTAGGAAGGAATTACTTGAATGCTGTGTGTACCGAAATCAGTAGCCTAGCAGAGCCGGGGTAATATTGGAGCGCTTTGAGCACCTTGCAGGGTAGATATGTGTGCTATATAAGTATCAAATGTTCTTATTATTATAAACGAATTTACCTCAAAGAAAATAATGTATAAATCTAAGGCAGAAAATCGAAGAGAAATACACAGAGGTATATTTATATACACAAATCATACAATAATAATTCTACAAAACTTGAGTAGAGGTATCGTGGTCGAGTGGATATGTTGACGGATTGTCGGTCTTAAGGTCCGTGGTTCGAAGTCCCACCGCAGCACTAATGTCCTTTGGCAGGACATTGATCTACATTTGCCACACTCAACTCAAGTGATGTAAATGTAAATGGGTACCTGGCAGGAATTAATTCCTTCAAATTCAAATTCAAATGCTAGAACGCCGCAGTGGCTGCCTTGTTAAACCCAGGGTAATAATCGGGGCAGTGATCCTGCAGCATAATTGGTTTCTTTACTCATGTTTTTTTTCTCATCATTTTCTGGTTAGATTTGTAATACATGACTTTAAATAACCCAGTGGATGGGTAAAACGTAATATATATCCCCCCCCCCCCACTTCCCCTTTTTTCATTCTTCAAATGAAGCTTAGCGTTTTATGAATGTTTGTCAATGGTGTTGTTTCCTGTGTTGGGTTAAAACATATATTTGTTATTTACTTAATGGTTAGGGGCACCCTCGCCCTAAGCTTACCTTTTAGAGGTGTGTGCACCGAATATTTGTTTATATCTTTATCAATTTTTATTTCGCAGATTTTTTTTTGTCAAAGAATATATTAAAATCAAGTGTTCATTTACTATTTTTAAAATAGATGTCTTTAAATGTTAAAGAATAATGGCATACCTTAATCACACATACACGACGAACGCGAGACCGACCACAGATCGAACTAATAATTAGATGACACTCAATGGACCAGGGTACAATTGTCCCCCTAATGTCCACAGATCTCTTACACATGGAGACGTCTTACCTTGTGCATTTTAGAATAAACACTGCCAAAGTGATAGTGGGACTTCATGAGTACAATTTGTTTGCCCTCTTGCGCAGAATACTTCCACTTGTGTTTCAGAGAATGTGCCGTCGGTGAATAAATAAAAATTGATCAATTACCTTTCATGCCCGCGTATCCGACTTGATGGGTTTGACGATTTTGGTTCAAATGACCCTGATCTGCCCATGCGCAGATTGTATGTACAAAATGGCTAATACAAGTAGCAGGGAGATGAGACATATCTCACGTCCCTGTTAATAGTGTAGTCGGTTTGGCGATGTGACCGAGGTGTCATTAGGGACTTTTAGATTCTGCACGACGAGAACGCGGACTGCCCTTTTAAGGCAATGTGACGTCACTGCCAGTGCCTTAAAAGGACGTCGCATTGCCTGAAAAGGGCAGTTCACGTTCTCGTCGTGCAGAATCTAAAAGTCTCTAATATCTCGGATATGGATCGGTATACAGTCGGTTTGGAGGTGGAACGAATGGATACGGATGCTCACCTGATAGTAGATCTTAGGGTTACCCCTGTAGAGGTCAACCGGGGCACCAAATACCGCAATGGCTGGGTCTCCATAGAACTGATCGAAGAAGCTAAACGTAGATGGGTTGATGTATTTGAAAAGTGAATAGCGGTGTGGATAGTAGGTCGAAAAGTGGATCATCCCTGTTGATGTGCACTGTACGAGTTAGGCAAAGAGAAATCATATGTTGTATTTAGAGTGGGCGACATCATGATTATGCTCTTCATTATATAAAAAAGGAGGGAAATGAAAATGGAAAAATAGGAAAAGTCTTGATAAAGATTTATCGGTCGATTTTAAGAGTATGCATACATTATTACCTTGATCACACATCCAAACTGATGCCGTATTGACTCCAAACCGATTTATATTTAGCCATTAAAGGCAACGTAATTGTTTTGTTCAGTCTGTTGTCGATATGGTCTCGGTCTCGATGTCACGAGGTATACACGAGTGGTGAATTGCCACACTTTGATATCAAAGCTCTTCGTTACATAGGCCTTATTGGAAGACAGCCCATGGCTAAATGTCTTAATCTCTAAAAAACACTGTACAATTATTTTTTTTAAATAGATAGTTAAATAATGTAGTACTTGATATCAATTTAAATGAGAAATTAAGAATACAAAATTAGAGAATATTATATTCTCTCTTTTGCACTTGGCCTGGGCCAGACAATATAATAATAACAATGAGAGTGATAATGAAAATATCAATTTTGTTTTACCAAGGAAAGCCCCATAAGAATCAGTGATGTTCTTGATGAGGGCCCTGCAAGTATGATCAATCAAGCAATTACAAGGTATCTATTTACACATGGGTTGCAAGTGATTAATGTGGAATAATGTCTTGAGAAAGGATATTAGTATCGGGCTTGGATTGAGAGACAACGTCCCAATATACCAGGACACATCCATATTTAAATATAAGCCATACAAGTGCCGGACTGGGATTCGTACCCTACATACTTGGATTGAGAGTCAAGTGAATGAACCACTATACCGGGGGGGGGGTGTTTCACAAAGACTAAGATCGACTTTAAGTTGGACTTACCTATGGCAGGCTGTTCATGCGACTGTTTGCTGTCGCCATTTACTGGCATTTGTCTCCCAAGCGACGTACAAAACATGATCACAAATCTACAGAATTTACATTTTTTGATAATCCATTATTAAAGGGGAAAATATTATCTAAAGATCATAATTGTGAGCGCAAACAGTGGCATGAACAGCCTGCCATAGTTAAGTCCATCTTAAAGTCGATCTTAGTCTTTGTGAAACACTTCCCTGGACACATCGATATTGAATGCTAAATGTAATACTTACAGTGATGTAGGTGTATAGCCGACCGGAGCTGATAGGAAACCCCGTATCAACTCTTACAGTGAACCAAGCAAGATAGCTGTATTGATAGTAACTCAGTGACCGGTCCAGTCCAGAGCCGTAGTCGATGTAGATACGCTCTGAATAATGCATTAAACAAAACAGTTGAATATAAATACATGATACATTAATCCTGTTCAACCCAAGCAGTTGATAGGTGCCAATTTAGCCCTGCTAGAAAAATATAGAAAATAATCTAATTTTAAACTATACCTAAAATAATAACAAATAAAATACTAGGAGAAAGACAGGAGGTAAAAGAGATCTGGATAAAGAGAAAGAGTGGAGAGATTAGAAGAAAGAAAAATAATTCAGTTTTTAAACTCACTAATACCTGAATTAGTGAAATTTATAAAAATGAGAAGAAAATAATACGCTTTACATAAGTCAAAGCTTTTTAACGTTATGATGTAGAAACAGAAAAGGTGTTAATGAGGGTGTATGTGCGTGTGTATGTGTGTGTGTGTGACAGAGAGAGAGAGAGAGAAAGAGAGAAAGACGGGGTGGAAAGAGATGAGAAGAAAATGGGAGGTGTGTGAGGGATTTGGTTCAGATACACGTACCATCGCAGGAAAATCCATCGCCTTCGAATCCTTCTGTGCATTCACACGTATAACTTCTGTCGATGTTTATACATCGTGCGTTAGTGTCGCAGTTATGCATGTTTGACGTGCACTCATCGATGTCTGAAAATGATAATGATAATAATATTACTAATACTAATACTAATACTATTACTACTGATTATAATAATAATGATAATGATAATATTAATAAAAATGGTAATGATTACGAAATTAGTAATAATGATAATAGTGTTAATAATACATGTACTTTATCATTGGGATGAAAACAACAATATAAGTGAGAGTTCAGGTGATGTTAGATTTTTTTTCGACCTTTTTCTCGTTTTTACATGGGAGATCGTTATACATAAAAAAATTATCGGTCCTAATTTGATCCCATCTTCCAATATCAACATATTCTGGCATTTTCGACGAAATCCTTATTCCACAATATTATATACACCATGTGAAATACATTTCAGGGTATATAATTGATTGATTGATACACTAAGTTTAAACACGGTTAAAACCTATTTGAGCCGAAAGGCTGATTTACAAGGGGACGTAAAAAAAATACAATAAAACAAGGACATAATGATGTAGGATACATAGTACAAAGTGTAAATAAACTTTGGCTTTGCCTAACGTTGTAAACTCTCTTCGCCAAAAAAGAATAGCGGTGAAGATTACACTTAGCATCAATAAAATGTATTTCATTTATAAGGGGTACAGAACGAAAGAAAAAATGAGTGTGTGTGTGTGTGTGTGTAAGAGAAAGGGGCGGGAGATATACACTGTTGGTCATAAAGGTGGAATAATTATTTTTCCCCAATTTATGAAATGATTTTGACAATGGTTTATTTCTAATAGATCTATATAATAGAATACATTCTCAGATTTAAGTGAATAATAATTTGCGAGTGTTTGTTTTGCGTGACTGATAAAGCAAATGTGTGTTACTATGCTAATCAAATAGGGGCCTACGTCATTAAGTCATAACTGACAGTTATAAGGATTAATGCCTTACAAAAGGGCACTCATAAAGCTGATCGACACTGTTTTTATTCTGGGGCCTCACTGTAACGAGGCCATTGCTTAGCCATTGAATCATGACTACGCAGCGGGGGCTAGGGTACGTCGCCGCCCCCACAAATACAAAAAACAATGATTGCAGAAAATGCAATAAATTATCAATAATTCATTGCATCTTCCCCCGGTCCCCAACAGGGAAAAATCCTCTGTAGGGCCATGCAGTATGGTTCAAGGCATGCCCACATAGAGGGGTTTTTTAAGTTATGGGTCGGGGCAAAATGCGATGAATTATTGATACTTTATTGCGTTTTTGTATGTGTGGGGGCGGCGGCGACGTACCCTAGCCCCCGCTGCGCACAGTCATGATTCAATGGGAAGGGTGGGAGAGATGTAGAGAAAGAAAGAAGTGGGAGACATGAGAAAGAGAGAGAGAGGGTGTGGAATTTAGGTAAACGGGGGAGAGAGGAGAATGAAGAGGGAAGGGGGCAGATTCAGTTCAGATACACTTACCATCGCAGGACAATCCATCGCCTTCGAATCCGTCTGTGCATTCACACGCATAACTTCCATCGGTGTTGATACATCGTGCGTTAGTGTCGCAGTTATGCGTGTTTGATGAGCACTCATCGATGTCTGAATATGATAATGATAATGATGGGTACTAATCTGACATATTATAACATCATAAAGAACCCTATTTGAATAAATTAACTTGTTATTTTCGTGAGCTGGAAGAAGTGTCAAATTTCAGGTTTTAAGATTGTAAAATGTTACTATTTTGCACAAATTAACACTGCCATTATACAATGTTAGCAAATTTCTTGACACAATTAGGCTTTTGTATTCCTATGTTATCATCTATTCGATATTTCCATTGTTGGTTCACATGAAAAGTGAAATATTAAAGATATTTTTTTGTGCAAAAAAAATCACTACTCAAGCTTTCGAATGGTATTGGCGGCTTCGAACCTCAGACATCAAAGGTAACGGCTCACCTGTAGATTTTATTGTGCAACCTTAGAAAACGGCAGCTGCTTGGAATGATTTGTTGCCAGTTGGGACTCTAGCTATTAAAACTACTTTGTAGAAGGGGAAGAGAAGAATAAAGAGGGGGCAGAAGGGGATTGAGTGCAGGTACACTTACCATCGCAGGAAAATCCATCGCCTTCGAATCCGTCTGTGCATTCACACGTATAACTCCCCTCGGTGTTGATACATCGTGCGTTAGTGTCGCAGTTATGCGTGTTTGATGAGCACTCATCAATGTCTGAATCTGATAATAATAATAATGTTATTACTTATAGGCCTACTACTTTTACTAGAATAAAAAAAAATGCATGTTCTTTAGAGACAAATGGTTTCAAGGCAAGAAACAGTCGATAATTCGTGGCTCGACAGTCTCATGCCAGTTGTCGGGGCCTTTTTTATGACAAGCTTTTATTTGACAAGTAAATGCCTGGGTACCATCGTTTGAATAGGAAAAGTAGTATACGGACTGGAAAATACTTGAATGGAAATGTTTAAAATGGCTATGAAAAAGAAAAGCAAAATGATCACTTATTAAAAAGGTTAGAACAAATATGTGATTTAAAAAAAAATTGTTTTAAAACTGGCAAGAAGGTAATCTAGGATGTAGTACAGAATTGAACAGCGTAACCTGCGTTCCGTTTCCGCCTGACTTGTGACGGCTCCTTCCTACAAACTCGTTGAGAGGAATCAATAAAACAAAATGCTACACCTCACCCACCCCCCCCCCCCCAACACACCCCTAATACCCTCCAAGCCCATACCTCCTCTACGTCATATTCTCATTGAGGAGCTTGCGACTATGAAGAGATGAGGGAGAGATGAGAAAGAGAGATAGAGAGAGAGAAAGACAGCAAATAAAATACTAACTTACCAGTGGTTGCCATGTCAGTAGTTGTAACATCTGTCAAAGTGGTCGGAGGCCTTCTGGTTCCCACGTCTGTTGAAAGGGATGTGACTGGTTTCGGAGTTAGTGTAGAAGTTGTGCCATCTTCTTTAATGGTAGACGCTATGATTCCTGTGGTCCTTTCTACAGTAACTCCTATGGTTGCAGTCTCTCCTACCGTGCTTCCGGCGGTTGCAGTCTTTCCCAATGCAGTGGCTGTGGTTTCCGTGCCTCCTACTGTGTATGCTGTTGCAGCAGTCTGTTCTGCTAAATTTCCAGTGGTTGCAGTCTCTCCTATAGTAAGTCCTGAATTTGTAGTCCATTCTACCATGCCTTCTGTGGAAGCAGTCTCTTCTGCTGTTTTTCTTGTGGTTACGGTCGCTATTATGTTATCTGCTGTGGTTACAGTTTCTCCTACAGTGTATGTTGCGGCTGCAGTCTCTGTTTCTGAATCTGTTTTAGTTGATGTCTCTCCAACAGTTTGTGTAGTGGATGCAGTATTTTCTGCTGTAAATCCTGTGGTTGCAGTTTCTCCTACTGTGTATGTTGTGGTTGCAGTATCTGTTACTGCATCTGGTTTTGTTGCAGTTTCTCTTACTATGTCGATTGTGGTTGCAGTCGCTGTTACTGTATCTGCAGTGGTTGCAGGGTCTTCTAGTGTGATTCCCGTGGTCTCATCTACAGTAACAACAATGGTTGCAGTCTCACCGATTGTTTCTGTTGTTGTTTTAGTCTCTGATACTGTATCTGCAGTGGTTGCAGTGTCTTCTAGTGTAATTCCCGTGGTTTCTTGTACAGTAACAACAATGGTTGCAGTCCCTCCGATTGTTTCTGTTGTTGTTTTAGTCTCTGATACTGTATCTGCAGTGGTTCTAACCTCTCCCACTGTGGTTCCCGTGGTTTCTTCTTCAGTAACAACAATGGTTGCAGTTTCTTCTACCCTGTCCTCTGTGGTAGCAATCTCTGTTACTGTATCTGTGGTGGTTCTAGCCTCTCCCACTGTGGTTCCAGTGGTTTCTTCTTTAGTAACAACAATGGTTGCAGTTTCTCCTACCCTGTCCTCTGTGGTAGCAGTCTCTCTTACTGTATCTGCAGTGGTTCTAACCTCTCCCACTGTGGTTCCCGTGGTTTCTTCTTCAGTAACAACAATGGTTGCAGTTTCTCCTACCCTGCCCTCTGTTGTAGCAATCTCTGTTACTGTATCTGCGGTGGTTCTAGCCTCTCCCACTGTGGTTCCCGTGGTTTCTTCTTCAGTAACTACAATGGTTGCAGTTTCTCCTACCCTGTCCTCTGTGGTAGCAGTCTCTGTTACTGTATCTGCAGTGGTTCTAGCCTCTCCCACTGTGGTTCCCGTGGTTTCTACTTCAGTAACAGCAATGGTTGCAGTTTCTCCTACCCTGCCCACTGTGGTAGCAATCTCTGTTACTGTATCTGCGGTGGTTCTAGCCTCTCCCACGGTGATTCCCGTAGTTTCTTCTTCAGTAACAACAATAGTTGCAGTTTCTCCTGCCCTGTCCTTTGTGGTAGCAGCCTCTGTTACTGTATCTGCGGTGGTTCTAGCCTCTCCCACGGTGATTCCCGTGGTTTCTTCTTCAGTAACAACAATAGTTGCAGTTTCTCCTGCCCTGTCCTCTGTGGTAGCAGCCTCTGTTACTGTATCTGCGGTGGTTCTAGCCTCTCCCACTGTGGTTCCCGTGGTTTCTTCTTCAGTAACAACAATGGTTGAAGTTTCTCGTACCCTGTCTACAGTGGTAGCAATCTCTGATACTGTATCTGCGGTGATTCTAGCCTCTCCAACTGTGGTTCTCGTGGTTTCTACTTCAGTAACAACAATGGTTGCAGTTTCTCCTACCCTGTCCTCCGTGGTAGCAGTCTCTGTTACTGTATCTGCGGTGGTTCTAGCCTCTCCCACTGTGGTTCCCGTGGTTTCTTCTTCAGTAACAACAATGGTTGCAGTTTCTCCTACCCTGTCCTCCGTGGTAGCAGTCTCTGTTACTGTATCTGTGGTGGTTCTAGCCTCTCCCACTGTGGTTCCCGTGGTTTCTTCTTCAGTAACAACAATGGTTGCAGTTTCTCCTACCCTGTACACTGTGGTAGTAATCGCTGTTACTGTATCTGCGGTGGTTCTAGCCTCTCCCACTGTGGTTCCCGTGGTTTCTTCTTCAGTAACAACAATGGTTGCAGTTTCTCCTACCCTGTCCTCTGTGGTAGCAGTCTCTCTTACTGTATCTGCGGTGGTTCTAGCCCCTCCCACTGTGGTTTCCGTGGTTTCTACTTCAGTAACAACAATGGTTGCAGTTTCTCCTACCCTGTCCTCTGTGGTAGCAGCCTCTGTTACTGTATCTGCGGTGGTTCTAGCCTCTCCTACTGTGGTTCCCGTGGTTTCTTCTTCAGTAACGACAATGGTTGCAGTTTCTCCAACCCTGTCCTCTGTGGTAGCAGTTTCTGTATATGTGGTGGTTCTAGCCTCTCCCACAGTGGTTCTCGTGGTTTCTTCTTCAGTAACTACAATTGTTGCAGTTTTTCCTATCCCGTCCAATGTGGTACCAATCTCTGTTTCCGTTTCTGCAGTGGTTCTAGTCTCCCCCACTGTAATTCCCGTGGTTTCTTCTTCAGTAACTACAATTGTTGCAGTTTCTCTTACCCTGTCCTCTGTGGTAGCAGACTCTGTTACTGTAACTGCGGTGGTTCTAGCCTCTCCCACTGTGGTTCTCGTGGTTTCTTCTTCAGTAACTACAATTGTTGCAGTTTCTCCTGCCCTGTCCTCTGTGGTAGCAGTCTCTGTTACTGTATCTGTGGTGGTTCTAGCCTCTCCCACTGTGGTTCCCGTGGTTTCTTTTTCAGTAACAACAATGGTTGCAGTTTCTCCTACCCTGTCCTCTGTGGTAGGAATCTCTGTTTCTGTGTCTGCAGTGGTTCTAGCCTCTCCCACTGTGGTTCTCGTGGTTTCTACTTCAGTAACAACAATGGTTGCAGTTTCTCCTACCCTGTCCTCTGTGGTAGCAGTCTCTGTTACTGTAACTGCGGTGGTTCTAGCCTCTCTAACTGTGGTTCCCGTGGTTTCTTCTTCAGTAACTACAATTGTTGCAGTTTCTCCTACCCTGTCCTCTGTGGTAGCAGTCTCTGTTTCTGTATATGCGGTGGTTCTAGCCTCTCCCACTGTGGTTCCCGTGGTTTCTTCTTCAGTAACTACAATTGTTGCAGTTTCTCCTACCCTGTCCTCTGTGGTAGCAGTCTCTGTTACTGTATCTGTGGTGATTCTAGCCTCTCCTACTGTGGTTCCCGTGGTTTCTTCTTCAGTAACAACAATGGTTGCAGTTTCTCCTACCCTGTCCTCTGTGGTAGCAGTCTCTGTTACTGTATCTGCGCTGGTTCTAGCCTCTCCCACTGTGGTTCCCGTGGTTTCTTCTTCAGTAACAACAATGGTTGCAGTTTCTCCTACCCTGTCCTCTGTGGTAGCAGTCTCTGTTTCTGTATATGCGGTGGTTCTAGCCTCTCCAACTGTGGTTCTCGTGGTTTCTACTTCAGTAACAACAATGGTTGCAGTTTCTCCTACCCTGTCCTCTGTGGTAGCAGTCTCTGTTACTGTAACTGCGGTGGTTCTAGCCTCTCTAACTGTGGTTCCCGTGGTTTCTTCTTCAGTAACTACAATTGTTGCAGTTTCTCCTACCCTGTCCTCTGTGGTAGCAGTCTCTGTTTCTGTATATGCGGTGGTTCTAGCCTCTCCCACTGTGGTTCCCGTGGTTTCTTCTTCAGTAACTACAATTGTTGCAGTTTCTCCTACCCTGTCCTCTGTGGTAGCAGTCTCTGTTACTGTATCTGTGGTGATTCTAGCCTCTCCTACTGTGGTTCCCGTGGTTTCTTCTTCAGTAACAACAATGGTTGCAGTTTCTCCTACCCTGTCCTCTGTGGTAGCAGTCTCTGTTACTGTATCTGCGCTGGTTCTAGCCTCTCCCACTGTGGTTCCCGTGGTTTCTTCTTCAGTAACAACAATGGTTGCAGTTTCTCCTACCCTGTCCTCTGTGGTAGCAGTCTCTGTTTCTGTATATGCGGTGGTTCTAGCCTCTCCCACTGTGGTTCCCGTGGTTTCTTCTTCAGTAACAACAATGGTTGCAGTTTCTCCTACCCTGTCCTCTGTGGTAGCAGTCTCTGTTACTGTATCTGCGGTGGTTCTAGCTTCTCCCACTGTGGTTCCCGTGGTTTCTTCTTCAGTAACAACAATGGTTGCAGTTTCTCCTACCCTGTCCTCTGTGGTAGCAATCTCTGTTTCTGTATCTGCAGTGGTTCTAGCCTCTCCCACTGTGGTTCCCGTAGTTTCTACTTCAGTAACAACAATGGTTGCAGTTTCTCCTACCCTGTCCTCTGTGGTAGGAATCTCTGTTTTTTTTGTATCTGCAGTGGTTCTAGCCTCTCCCACTGTGGTTCCCGTGGTTTCTACTTCAGTAACAACAATGGTTGCAGTTTCTCCTACCCTGTCCTCTGTGGTAGCAGTCTCTGTTACTGTAACTGCGGTGGTTCTAGCCTCTCTAACTGTGGTTCCCGTGGTTTCTTCTTCAGTAACTACAATTGTTGCAGTTTCTCCTACCCTGTCCTCTGTGGTAGCAGTCTCTGTTTCTGTATATGCGGTGGCTCTAGCCTCTCCCACTGTGGTTCCCGTGGTTTCTTCTTCAGTAACTACAATTGTTGCAGTTTCTCCTACCCTGTCCTCTGTGGTAGCAGTCTCTGTTACTGTATCTGTGGTGATTCTAGCCTCTCCCACTGTGGTTCCCGTGGTTTCTTCTTCAGTAACAACAATGGTTGCAGTTTCTCCTACCCTGTCCTCTGTGGTAGCAGTCTCTGTTTCTGTATATGCGGTGGTTCTAGCCTCTCCCACTGTGGTTCCCGTGGTTTCTTCTTCAGTAACAACAATGGTTGCAGTTTCTCCTACCCTGTCCTCTGTGGTAGCAGTCTCTGTTACTGTATCTGCGGTGGTTCTAGCTTCTCCCACTGTGGTTCTCGTGGTTTCTACTTCAGTAACAACAATGGTTGCAGTTTCTCCTACCCTGTCCTCTGTGGTAGCAATCTCTGTTTCTGTATCTGCAGTGGTTCTAGCCTCTCCCACTGTGGTTCCCGTGGTTTCTACTTCAGTAACAACAATGGTTGCAGTTTCTCCTACCCTGTCTTCTGTGGTAGCAGTCTCTGTTTCTGTATTTGCGGTGATTCTAGCCTCTCCCACCGTAGTTCCCGTGGTTTCTTCTTCAGTAACAACAATGGTTGCAGTTTCTCCTACCCTGTCCACTGTGGTAGCAGTCTCTGTTACTGTATCTGCAGTGGTTCTAGCCTCTCCCACTGTGGTTCCCGTGGTTTCTACTTCAGTAACAACAATGGTTGCAGTTTCTCCTACCCTGTCCTCTGTGGTAGGAATCTCTGTTTCTTTATCTGCGGTAGTTCTAGCCTCTGTGGTAGCAGTCTCTGTTACTGTATCTGCAGTGGTTGCAGTGTCTTCTAGTGTGATTCCAGTGGTCTCTTCTTCAGTAACTACAATGGTTTCCGTCTCTCCTACCGAGCTTTGTGTGGTTGCAGTTTCTCCTATCCTGTCCACTGTGGTAGCAGTTTCTGTTACTCTATCTTCGGTGGTTGCCATATCTTCTAGTGTGGTTCCCGTGGTCTCTTCTTCAGTAACTACAATGGTTGCAGTCTCTCCGATTGTTTTTGTTATTGTTTTAGTCTCCGATACTGTATGTGCAGTGGTTGCAGAGTCTTCTAGTGTGATTCCAGTGGTTTCTTCTTCAGTAACTACAATGTTTTCAGTTTCTCCTATCCTGTCCACTGTGGTTGCAGTCTCTGTTATTTTATCTTCGGTGGTTGCAGTCTCTTCTAGTGTGGTTCCCGTGGTCTCTTCTTCAGTAACTACAATGGTTGCAGTTTCTCCGATTGTTTCTGTTGTTGTTTTAGTCTCCGATACTGTATCTGCAGTGGTTGCAGTGTCTTCTAGTGTGATTCCCGTGGTTTCTTCTTCAGTAACTAAAATGGTTTCCGTCTCTCCTACCGAGCCTGATGTGGTTGCAGTTTCTCCTATCCTGTCCACTGTGGTAGCAGTCTCTGTTACTGTATCTTCGGTGGTTGCCATGTCTTCTAGTGTGGTTCCCATGGTCTCTTCTTCAGTAACTACAATGGTTGCAGTTTCTCCGATTGTTTCTGTTGTTGTTTTAGTCCATGATACTGTATCTTCGGTGGTTGCAGTCTCTTCTAGTGTGGTTCCCGTGGTCTCTTCTTCAGTAACTACAATGGTTGCAGTTTCTCCGATTGTTTCTGTTGTTGTTTTAGTCTCCGATACTGTATCTGCAGTGGTTGCAGTGTCTTCTAGTGTGATTCCCGTGGTTTCTTCTTCAGTAACTAAAATGGTTTCCGTCTCTCCTACCGAGCCTGATGTGGTTGCAGTTTTTCCTATCCTGTCCACTGTGGTAGCAGTCTCTGTTACTGTATCTTCGGTGGTTGCCATGTCTTCTAGTGTGGTTCCCATGGTCTCTTCTTCAGTAACTACAATGGTTGCGGTTTCTCCGATTGTTTCTGTTGTTGTTTTAGTCCATGATACTGTATCTGCAGTGGTTGGAGTGTCTTCTAGTGTGGTTCCCGTGGTTTCTTCTTCAGTAACTAGAATGGTTGCAGTCTCTCCTACCGAGCTTCCTGTGGTTGCAGTTTCTTCTTCTCTGTCTATTGTGGTTGCAGTCTCTGTTACGTTATCTGCTATGGTTTCTGTCTCTCCTACTGTTTCTGTTGTGGTCGCAGTCTCTTCTACTGTATATACTATGGTCTCTTTTGGAATAACATTGTAATTAAAAGAAAGATCCTTTTTTCAAATCATAGAATTTACCGCTCTCAGTAATTAGTTTTTCTATTTCGGTTTAATTTATCAATACTTTTTCCTTAATGAGTTTCAAGTGTTACGGATTCATACTTAGTAAACAAAATAATTCCGAAATATAATTCTTTTAATTCTGGTTTTTCGAATATTTATTCAATAGATCGAACCAATCTCTAGGTGTCGAGGTGTCATTTGCACCTCATTTTTTTTCTTCACATTAGTTCTCCTTTTGTACTTTTGCCTGTATGTCTTGTCAAATTCTTTCAACCAAACAATTATTATCATCGATCCCTTCGCAAAAGCTCGTCCCCACCCGAGAAAATTGCTTTAACATTTTGAAATCAAAATAAAATATCCTTTTCTTAAAGGTAATACAAAGTTTTGGGAAATTTTGAAAATTGGGTGGATAGTGAATCTTTACAATTTTGATATATTTGGATGCCCCTGTGGATGTATTATAAGCACTAAATAAAATTAGCCCCTAAAACACTTCTGTTTTTGAGAAAAATTGAATATAAAAGTTTACCGGTGCTCCCGGTAAATTTTGATAAATTTCAAATAGCGCCTATGGCTGTACAATGGTAGCTGCGACCATGAAAATCTCAGAATATGTAGTTGTGGTATATAATTTCCAAATGGGAATAGCTAATCGGTCGATTTTAGTTTTAAAAAAACATAGTTTTATAGCTTAATTAATATCTTGACCTTGAGAGGGAGCTATACGACAAAAGAAGTTTATTATTTACAATTTCATAATTTTAGACTCGATTTCAACCGCGATAACGATCAATGAATATTGTAGGAACGCATTCGCTTCCAATATGTTAATTTGAACCAAATTCATGACCCCATACCAAAACTTTGTAATACCTTTAGAGAATAGCTCGATATATATAACAATATTATAACTATTATCTATTACCATCATCTATCTATTACTATTATCATTCTATGCAAAGTCTAATTACTGCTGCACTCGAGGCGTTATATTGATTGCACCATTACCTATATTGATGTTTTGAGCTTTTAAAAATAGCGAACGCGTGCATCAGTAATTCCAAACAATGTTTGCAATGAAACGAAAGCTTTTATTGGTTTAGGTGATTATGAAATGTAATTTAGGCTTTTAACAACTTCAAAATTGAGTAGTCAAGCTGTCATCCACTAATGTGAACTTTTCAAGCCAAAGAATTGCTAACACAATTTGTGTTTTTGGGCGGTTCCAGATCACGGGAGTGAAGATAAGCGACATTGAATAGCCAGGATCACTACAATATGAGTTAAGGATTAATCATTTTATTTCAGCTGGATTATTCCATCTTTCTGGACCAAATGTGTTTTTTAGTGTATATAATATAGGCATAATCCCATCAAATATTATGTCCAGTATTAACGACGTTTTCCTCTACTACTGAAGGAGATGGATGGATTGATCGATCTGCGGGCTCTTTTTAAGGTTGTCGTTTTGATATTAACTATTATATGGCTCATCGATTACAGCGCCAGTCGCTCTGCGCAGTCCTATGTAAGCAAAAGAACGCATCATGTGCAATGGACATAATGGAAGTACTAACAAAGGTTGTTCCCGTAAACAGAAAAGCATTATTTATGAAAAGAATACGTGTATATGTTCTTACCTATCTCAGTAGTTTGAGTCAAGCATGACGTGATTACCTGTAGGAGTCAGTCACAACATTGAAACATATTACACGATGGTCTTGAACATACAACAGTAAAAACAATTGAAACACAACTGAAATTCATAGATGCACATAACAAGACACACAGAAGAACCAGGCTATATGGAAAATAGAATGACATTTTAAAACGATGAAAAACACTCCATTCTAACAAAGACAAATTGGTTAATTTATATTTTAAAAACCCGTTACTTAAATAAATAAACCGGAGTTTTATAACAGATGTCGACTTATGATATAACGTCTCCATGCGCTTCCAATGGGTTTTCGATTATTTATTATTATTATTATTTCGCTTATCGATCAAAGCTATTTAAAACTAACAATTGTTTGTATTGTGACACCATTTCTGGTTTGTTAATATCAGTGAGGGGACATGGGGTCCTGCAACAGCAGACTAAATCAGAAAATGCTCAGCAGTCTGAATCTGACCACGTGGACACAGGCTAGAGTCAATGTGACAATATGATTTATTCGTGAAATACAATATTTATATATTGCCAGCACTTTGTTATCAAACATTATAAATCAGTCCTTATTTATCAATGCATTTTTGGATATAAACGTTATCTAAATAAATAAATCATTTTATTTTAATAATTTTATAAAAAGAGGTAAGAGAAATTTACTTCAAATCTACACTGTAAAAAAGGTTGGGCAGATGTTACTGGGTAAATCGAAGTTAGGCAAATTTTTACCGATAATTGGGTTATTTCTACCAACCGTTTACTATATGAAGTTACCCAATAAAAGGTAAAAAAAAATAGGTTGGGTAATGTCACTGGGCAAATTAGAGTTGGGCCATTTTTGTCCAACATTTGGGTTATTTTCTCCCAACCATTTACTACATGTATTTACCCAATTAAATGTTCAAAATAAGTTGGGCAGATGTAACTGGGCAAACGTAAGTCGGGCAACATTATTATCGTACAATAGGGTTATGCACATTTATTAGAGGTGTCGTGGTCGAGTGGATAAGTCACATGACTATGGATTACAACGTCCGCGGTTCGAGTCCCACCGCGGCACTAATCTCCTTTTGCATATAATATTTTTTCTAACTTATTTGCCCAACTAGTATGTAACTTATGCTACACATTATGGTGAGAATGTCTGATTGGTAAATTTGTGTTGGTTAAAAGTTGGGTATTTTCTTATTATCCAACACTGGGTAAATCATGCAAAATCTTTAATTTACCCAACAGTTGGTTGAACACATAATCGCCCTCATGTTGGGTAAAAATTGGGCAATTTTTGGCCAAATATTTTTTAGAGTGTATGGGCAACGACTACTCTTATAAGTACCTGTTGTGTTTACGTATCGAAAAAGAATTTTGGATTCATAAGATCATGTCCTTTTACAAGACAATATTCTTGCCGTTCTCAATCCAGGTGTCAATGTTTCCCAGTTATACATGTGTTATTTTTGTTATGAAGGAACAATTATCTCAAAAATATCTGGGAACGACAAAAAGTAAAAATCATAAGTATGTAACAAGTATTTCAAGATGGAATTGGGTGGAACTATTATTTTGGGACTGTTTGGGGATGTTTTGCAATCGGATTTCATTTCCGTAATAACTGACAATGATTCACTCTCTCACTCAGCTAAAATAGTTTTCTGTATGTGGAATTTTTATACAATACTATTTCTGAAGATCTTCACTTGAATTAATCTTGAATATTTATGGGCATTGACATAAAATCATTTTATTAAGCAACTTATCTACGTCCTGAACTATATTGCTAAATTTTACCGGATTTACAAATATTTATATAAGATATTGCCAATATTGTATTACTTTTGTGTTTTTTATATTCGTATTATGATATAAATATCTCACTACTTTGCTAAAACAGACAATATTAGCCATGATCTGCATGTCATGTTGATTTTAATGAACCAAGTTAATTCAATTCAATTCAATACTTGTGCTTTCGTTACCAGGGTAATCATGTATATTAGATCCATGAGCGTAGCTGCGTGATGGATATGAACGCGATGATTATTGTCATTATCATTATTAGGTGATACGTAACGAAGTCTACGTATCACCTTTTGATTTCGTCAAAATTTTTCTTTTTAGGTGATACGTACGTAGACGTATCACCTTTTGATTTCGTCAAGATTTTTATTATTTATCAGGTGGGCTGTATAACGTACAGACCACCTTATAATTTCGTTAGAATTGCCTTTATTTATTTATTATTAAATATTTTTCTTATTTCTAACCACTTTTTTGTTAGCAAGATAACTTGAAAATGGTTCGATTAAATGCCTTGAAATTTGGCACACATATGTATAGGCATATGTACAAAGCACAATAACGTTTTTAACATTGACCTTCACTGATGACGTCATCTAGGCGCCATTTTGTAAAAATCAACTCATGATCATATCTTCATAACCAAAAGCTATTTCTCGTTCATATTTATCATGATCGAGGTCAATATCCGTCCGGTCAATTTCAGGTCAAAAAACGCGCGCGTGCGCGTACGTCCGCGCGTCAATGCGCGCGCAAAATTTTAAAATGCTCAAAATCGTCTCAAAATCATTTTGCATACGTTTTAGGCCATTCTAAGCATTTTATAAAAAATCGCGCACACGCACATGCGCGTGCGTTTTCGCGCGTAAAACTTTTACGCAACATAGAATCGCCATTTTTTTCTTTCATAATATTCCACATATTTTTACAAACAAATTGATACCATGTTTATCTCTTTATGACTATTAATGACGGTATGATCGACCGTTAAACATAAATTTCCGTGCGCGCGAGCTCTTGTAATACATAGCATATATGGGCAAAAATATGCCTATACAAAATCCATTGTAGCTCTTTAGGATGCAAGATGACCTCAATTTGTTTTCATATCTTGATAAAGTATGAGTCGGAGATATGATTTCATGTCTCATTTGACCCTCAATTAACTCATGACCTCATCATAATGGCCTCCGAACTCAAAATTTCAATTAGCATATTATGACGTCATCATATATTTGGAAAATTGATTGTATCTCTGTAAATATTGATCAATTTTCTTTCAAATTTTAATATGTTCTAGCTGAGACAATTTACTACAAAAACATTCAATTCGACAAAGGAATCATGGCGTATTGTTGCGATTAAAGGAGGCATGTCAATTTTTCACTTTTTGTGTGTATTCTCTACGGGACATGACTTTTTCTCAAAACTGGATTCTACATTCCCGTCTTTCGCGAGCAATATCTCCGTCGTTTTAGCTTCGTTAAAAATGAACCATGAGTATGTTGTAGCTGAGACGATTAGCTATCTCAAATGCGCCCTTCATTTTGTCTCAAATTTTAGTTGAACCAGCCCACCTATACTTGTTCCAAACAAGTATTACAAATCTAGTTTATTTATTATTATTCTTCCTCGAATTTGTTCGCAGGATATCTCAAGACTGAATGAAGCCATTGTTATGAATCTATCAATGATGATAGATCTTAGTCTAACTTAGAACTGCGTGACTTTTCAAAGACTCAAAGTCATCGTGACGTCATCCAGGCGCCATTTTGTGAAAATCAACTAATGATCATATCTTCACAACGGATAGTAATTTTTCATTCATATTTATCATGATTAAGATCAATATCCGTCCGGTCAATTTTAGGTCAATAAACGTGCGTAGACGCGCGCGTACGCGTTCGTGCGCGCGTTAATGCGCGCGCAAAAATTTAAAATGCTCTAAATCGTCTTATACTTTTTTTGCATACGTTTCAGGCCATTTAAAGCATTTCGCAAAAAAATCGCGCACACGCGCATGCGTCCGCGTTTCCGCGCGTACAGGCATTTTGCAACATAGAATCGCCGAATTTTTTCTGTAATCATATTTGGCACATTTTTCCAAGCATTTTGATAATTTTTTCACCATTTATTAACGCAATGAGCGTACGTCAAAGTTGACAGCACGCGCGGATTTGCGTTATCTTTATCCACAATACATGGGCAAAAACATGCCTATATAAAATTCATTGTAACTCTTTAGAATAGATAGAAACTCCTAATATTTTTTCATATTTGGATAGATTATGAAATGGAGATATGATTTCATGTCTCATTTGACCCTCAATTAAGTCATAATGTCATCATAATGGCCTCCAAACTCAAAATTTAAATTTGCATATTATGACGTTTGCATATTTTTGGAAAATTGATTGTATTTCTGTAAAATAGATTGTTTTTCTCCTAAATTTCGATATGTTCTAGCTGAGATAATTTTCTACAAATGCAGTGTCCACACCTTTCCAGTTTGACAAAGGTATCATGGCGTATTTTTTCGATTAAAGGAGGCATTGCAGTTTTTCACATTTTGCGTGTATTGTCTATGGGACATGACTATTTCTCAAAACTGGATTCTACATTTCCGTCTTTCGCGAGCAATATCTCTGTTGTTTTATCTTTGTTTACGCTGAGCTTCGAGTATGTTGTAGCGGAGACAATAAGCTATCTCAAATGTGTCTTTTATTTTTTGATCAGATGCCGGGATCATGCTCATATTGCACTTGCAACGTGGGATTTGAGAATCCCATTTTCCGTTTACGTGTAATCGCTATGTGAATTGTTTTGGTATATCGTTAACGCACTTGACTTCTATCCTCGAGGTCCCTGGTTCGAGTCTGGGCGTCTCCAACCATTTTTTCCCCTTTACTTTTTCTTTTCTTTTTGACCTTTCACTGTACCATTTCCTTTGATTATTAAAACACGTAGATCCGCAAATAATGTAATAAACTATTTGCTTTATTATTACCCTATTTTCACTTAAACGATTACTTTTTGTGTCTAATCCCTATGGGAGATGACTTTTCCTCAAATCTGGATTCTACATTTCTGTCTTTTGCGAGCAATATCGCCGTTATTCCTGCTTGGATTTTGTTGATTTTTGAGGATGTTGTAGCTGAGACTATATGTTATCTAAATCACCCGTCATTTTTTCAATAAGATATCAGGATCACGCTCATGATCATGATCATCTTCATTATCATCATGATCATCATTATCATAATGATGATAATTATTTATCAATTACATTTTCATTTCTTTGAATAAGATAAAATCGTCAAAATGTGTTCTTCATGATGTAAATTAGAGTCAAAGGTGTAACCGGTTACTAATCTATCTTCCCTAGATCCATAATGATCAAGGGATCGACACAATTTAAACTTGACACAGGGATAGATCATAATGGGAAAAGTATTTTATAAAATAATATGATATCGTGTATTAAATGCATTCTTCGTTATGTAAACCAATATCATACGTATCACCTAATTCGTCTAAGTGACGAATTGAAGTCTAGTTTATTTTTATTTTTTTTATTTTTATTATTCTTCCTCGAATTTGTTCGCAGGATATCTCAAGACTGAATAAAGCCATTATCATAAAACTTGACACGATGATAGATCTTAGTCTAACTTAGATCTGCGTGACTTTTTAGAGAGTCAAATTGATCGTGACGTCATCCATGCGCTATTTTGTGAAAATCAACTTATGATCATATCTTCATAACGGAAAGGTATTTCTCATTCATAATTATCAGGATTAAGATCAATATCCGTCCGGTCAAGTTGAGGTCAATAAAAGTGCGCAAATGCGCGCGTGCGCGTTCGTCTTCGCGTTTACGCGCGCGCAAAAATTTAAATTTCCAAATCATCCCAAATTTTTTTTGCATACGTTTTAGGCCATGTAAAGCATTTGATAAAAAAATTACGCACACGCGCATGCGCGCGCGTTTTCGCGTGTTCTGGCATTTTGCAACATAGAATCGCCGAATTTTCTCTGTCATCATATTTGGCACATTTTTCCAAGCATTTTGATAATTGGTTCACCTTTTATTAACGCAATGAGCGTCCGTTAAAGTTGACAGCACGCGCGGATTTGCGTTATCTTTATCCACAATACATGGGCAAAAACATGCCTATATAAAATTCATTGTAACTCTTTAGAATAGATAGAAACTCCTAATATTTTTTCATATTTGGATAGATTATGAGTCGGAAATATGGTTTCATATCTCATTTGACCCTCAATTAAGTCATAATGTCATCATAATGGCCTCCAAACTCAAAATTTTAATTTGCATATTATGACGTTTGCATATTTTGGGGAAATTGATTGTATTTCTGTAAGTATAGATTGTTTTTCTCCTAAATTTCGATATGTTCTAGCTGAGATAATTTTCTACAAATCCAGTGACCACACCTTTCCA